ATTCATAAATCAGCAAGTGAACAACCTTGGTGGATATTTTTATTCCCTGAAATATGAAAGAAAACATCGTTCTCCAGCGGTTCCTTTAACAAGACACAAAGCTGGCCGGAGGATTTCAAGACAGGAACATCTACACTCGTATCTGACATGAGACACTCCCAACCTAGATGGAGGGTTCCACCTTTTTCAGATGTAGAACCAGAATCTCAGACTTGGAGGAGCAGATTCCTCTCAGCTGCTTCACTCTCAGAGAACCCTCTCGATGCATGCTGAAGGTCTCGGCTGGAGGAACAAACAAGACACCCTCATCCCCATGACTACGCCATGAGATCCTGTCCAAGAAGACCACCAACCACACTGGGAGTGACCTGGAGTGTGTGAGCTCCTGCTTTAATTGCACAGAGACAGGATGTGACTCCTGAACCTCCAACAGATTCCTCAGAGAACATGGTCTTTTGTCTTCTCCTGCTCCATAAAATACATGTGTCCAAGAAGGACTTGTCAATGAGTTTATATAACCAGATGTGATTAAGAGGCTTCTGAATTTCCCTTTTAAGTCTTCTAGCCTGGGTTATCCTGGCTCATCCCTTTAGTTATGCTGAGATATAGTTTCAGACTGGAGGACATGTTGTGTTATTCTGGCTCATCCCTTTAGTTATGCTGAGATATAGTCTCAGACTGGAGGACATGTTGTGTTATTCTGGCTCATCCCTTTAGTTATGCTGAGATATAGTTTCAGACTGGAGGACATGTTGTGTTATTCTGGCTCATCCCTTTAGTTATGCTGAGATATAGTCTCAGACTGGAGGACATGTTGTGTTATTCTGGCTCATCCCTTTAGTTATGCTGAGATATAGTCTCAGACTGGAGGACATGTTGTGTTATTCTGGCTCATCCCTTTAGTTATGCTGAGATATAGTCTCAGACTGGAGGACATGTTGTGTTATCCTGGCTCATCCCTTTAGTTATGCTGACTTTAGTTATGCTGGTATAGTCTCAGACTGGAGGACATGTTGTGTTATCCTGGCTCATCCCTTTAGTTATGCTGGTATAGTCTCAGACTGGAGGACATGTTGTGTTATCCTGGCTCATCCCTTTAGTTATGCTGGTATTGGTTTAGAGGGCACACTGGCCACTCTTCCTCCTTCTGGCTTTATAAACTGCTAAATTTGATATTATTCTAACTGGAATGCGTTGACTTGCATCTGGACCTGGCATTATGTGGACCGTTTGCTTTCCTTATTTTCTTTGGAAGGGCTTTTGTTGGGGTACAAATAAAATGACTTAAAGTAGCAGGTTAGGATAAGAAATAATTTGTAAACGTAGAAGAATGAACCTGTTTCAGCTGCTGCAATAAGAGGATTGTTGATTTAAAAAATGTAGAAAACTTGAGTGTTTGCCCTTCGTTGTGTAATTATCTCAAAACTGAGATGATGACTCAATGAATGTTGGAAGTAAAACACTCGTATCCCCGGAACAAAGGCTCCAATCATGGCTGCTGTGTCTGCACGCTGCCCTTATGTTTAAATAATGAACACTCCTCTCATCGTCTTCTGCCCTTGTTTTTTCTCCTGTCTCCTTCCTTCCAGTTGATTGCAAATGAAATTAGCAACAATCTTCTTCTAACCTCATTTCATGAGCAATTTAAATTCAAGAGGCCCAAATTTGCAGCATGCTGGCTTCATTTTTACAAGAATGCTTAATCAGACACACACTCAAGACTACTGTAGAGTGATTTTCACACACACACACAAACACACACACACACACACACACACACACACACACTTTTTAGCCCAATCGATTCATTCAGTTTACTTCAATGACACTGAGGCCCGTCGGAAACATTCCACCTTTAAAATCTTCCTTCCTCTCCTCCGTAAACGCAGCTTGGGCTCGCTGTGACGAATGATCGCTCGACCCAATCAATTCTATTTAGATATGCTCGCCTCTGGAGAGGACGAAAAGGAAGACGGATGGATTTTTAGAGTTATTCAACTCAGAGGCCCAAGGTTATTGTTATTTGGGATGGCGGCCAGCCTGATATTTCACAGGCAGGTCAGACTTGGTAACTGTATTACTGGAGATTAACCTCTGGGAAAATACTGCTGTAAACAGAAAAGCCTGGCAAAGGACCAGCTCAATAAAAAAGCTGTAATTGAATTCCTCCAAATTAGTTAGTTTTTTTTTTCAGTGCTAATTCACAACAAAAGTCATCTCATGGCTCGAGATTGCGGTCCGATTAGGCCACAACATATTTTTACTGACTAATGACAAAGAAAGGTGAAAATTGTGAATTGATGCTGTAAATTAGTCTTCTGTTTTCTGTAACCTGTTGTGAAAACAATGAAAGTATAACAACAATAATATCAAGAAAATAAGGTTTAAACTTGTATTCAGTAGTCTCATTATTTCTTTTAGACTCAACATTACAGTTTTTCTCAAACGCTAAAACACAAAAACCAATCCTCTAAACCAAATGACCAGTTGTCTAAACACATTTACTAAATCTAGCCATCATTTTCCAACATCATAAACATATTTCATATGAAGACACAATACACAAAACACAATCCTCCGTTCTCATAGATCTAAACACATTTTTCCTTGCTAAAACACAAGTTGCAAAAGAACTCGGCTCATATTCTCAAATGAAAGCTCATGTGATGCCAAATGCTTGCCACAGTCAGCACTGATTGAACACAGTGCTAATGCTGTGACCACATCTCCTCACCTTCCTAGAGGAGCTAAAAGACATCCTCCTGGACCGCCAACAACACCATCCTGGGCCCGCACATCACATTTATGTGATCATTTGGGACAATGTCCGCTTCCACGGAACAAACCAAATCAGAGAGTGGTTCACCAACAGTAACCACTTTTTAAACGTCTGTCTGCCACCCTACTCCTCTTTCCTGAACCCTATAGAGGAGTTCTTCTCATCGTGGAGATGGAAGGTGTATGACAGACAACCATACACTAGAGAGGACCTCCTAAGGGCAATGGAGCTGGCCTGTGGTGACATCCCAGTGGAGGCCTTACAAGGATGGATTCGCCATTCCAGGGCATTTTTCCCACGGTGCCAGGCAAGAGACAATATAGCCTGCAATGTGGATGAGGTCACGTGGCCCAATGCAGCTCAGCGGCATGATGCCGCACAGTGATTGTGGTGTGTGTGTGTGTGTGTGTGTGTTGTGAATAAAGTTAATAAAAAATTTTCACACCCTGCTCATGTTTTCAAGAGTACTGTTGTGTGCAATAGATTCTGTTTTTGCATTGAGTTGTGCTACAGTGGTGTACATGCAGAATTTTCTATAGATTTATACTCTTCATATGAAACTCACAAATCTAAATGTCTAATCCTCTGCAGAGATCTAAGAAGATCCGTAACTGTAAAGTTTCTAAAAATGGGCAAATTGGCAGTTATGAAACAACGAACCTTCTCACAAATTGAGCATTGTGTTTTCAATTGTTTTGCTGTAGTGTGTAATGATGTGTAGTGTTTACATTTTTGAAAGCTTCGAGCTGCTCTTTTGGTGTCAAAGTTTGAGTTTTGAAGTGAGAAGGTGTGGTTGTGTTTATGTAGTTTTAGAAAAGGGTGTTGTGTTTACACATTGGGGAACATGGACGAAACGTTTGTGAAATGTGTTTTAGCAATTGAGAAAAACTGTGAAACTGTAGCTCAACATCTGTTAAACAGACTGAGTTGTACCCTTTTGAAAAAATTTCTAATGCCAATTAGCTGTGGCAGCCATTTTTAACTGATTTGACTCTAAAGGTAAAATTGTTTTAGATGTACATCCGATGATCAGGTAATGAAAATTTCCCTAAAATCCAACCAGTGGTTCATTAGATATTGTGCTAATAACCGAGACTTGATCCCTGTGGGACTCCACAATCTGTACTGATTTACAGCAGGAAAGAATAAAGACAATTATCTGCTTTATTTGTCTTTAAAGTATATATTTTGAGATTAAGACATCTCCATGTTTGAAGGAAATGATTGGTAAACGACTGCTTCTCAATTAAAAATGAACTAACATGTTTTTACAGGTGAGCCTTTTTCAATTGCCTTCCGATATTTATCATCTTTAAGTCTAAATTACGAAAAAATGGCTTGACTAGTTTTCAGGTATGTGGTTTGTTCAGTTTTTTAAATGCATTTTCAGTTTTGATTTTGCATTAAGAGATTTGCTGCTTAGGTCAAGGTTTGAATCTGATCTCTGAATCCGAGGAAAAGCAAACAGGATGTGAGTTCAAACGTGTTTTTATCAAAGCAGCAGAAACTGAACGGTGTTTACAATAAAAAGCTGCAGCAGGATCCTGGATGAGGAGCACGCAGCAACAGTTGAACCCTAAAGGGTTCAGGCAGAGAAACAAAGCCAGAGCAAAGGAGATATGTGACACCACAGCGCCACCATGTGGTTCACCGTCACGGCACGAATGGAAGCTTTGTGGCTTTAATTTGGATTATAAGATTTTAAAAGTTAGACTATTTTCTTCTTTCGTCCAAAAGAAAACAAACTAGTTTCATAATTATTAGAAAGTGTTTCATTCGTCAGTTTCCCTCCGCACAAAACATCCAGGTGTCTTAAGTTTGTTAGCCTACCAGGTGATAAACTACACCTGCATGTTCATGAGCACCACGATGGAAAACGACGCTTGTTATGGAGACCATGCTGCAGCCTGCGTCTGTGACTGACATGAAAATAATCAACATGAGAAAATAAAAATCTTTCAACACAACTTTTTATTTGTGGGAGAGTGGTGGGCTCAAAAAGGGGAAACGTCTAAAGCTGAAGGGGAGAAATGTCAGAGAAGCCAGTTTTATTTTTCACAATAAAAGTTTCTTCTTGGAGTCTTTAGACACATTTTGTGGTACAAACGTGTTTCTGGTTAATTTTAGAGTTACGGGTTCCACGAAGCATTGCTCCAGAACCCGGACCGCATTCATCTTTTTCCTCACAGCTGGATTTGTTCTGCATGCTGAAACGACTCACCGACATCGTCGTCTTCATCATTCCCTTGTGGATTGCTTGACAGCAACACCTTAAACGCCTCCTCATCTTCGGCTCTGGAGCGACTCAGGACTGACACCTGCCTGCTCCCAGACGACCCCTCTGGCTCTGCAGGGTCGGACTCTGGATCGGCCGCCTCCTCTGACGACATTCTGCAGTTGAGGATGAGCGGCGGCAGAGGGATGCTGTGCGCCAGCTCCTCCATGTGCCGAGCAAACTCCATGGTCTTAAACTGCGTGACTTTGGCGAGCTCCAGCGTCTTAGCTGAGGTGATGATGGGGATCTGTTTGGCTACCTCAAATGCCCTCTGCAGCTTCTCTGCTCCTTCGGTGCGGAAGAACTCCTCGATTACCCTCTCCGTCTCCTTGAGGTGGCTGCTGACCATGCACAGGCGTGCCACGTTAAGGATCATGGTGATGGTGAAGGCCACCAAACACACGATGACAAAGTACACCCCCTGGCCACTGTAGGTGTAGGCAACACGCAGGGTCACCGTGTAGTTCCTGGGGGGACCCACGCTGCTTGAGGCGACGCAGGTGTAGCGGCCGCGATCCTCGAAAGAGACCACGGAAATGTTTAGGACACCATTTCCTTGGATCTGCCACTTCCCACCTAAACCAGAACAATAAGTGATTAAAGTCCAGCCTGCTTTATGTCAGAGATTTGAACAAAAGACACCGAGAAAGGATGGAGTTTAGTTATTTTAGTCAAATGTTACAAGGCCTGGTTCCCATAGAAACGGTGTCACACTTAATGTTTCTGAACTAAAAAATCCATTATGAGTCTCACGTTCATGCTGAACATGAAAATATTCTCTGACCTCACCAGCTGCATGAAAGAAACAATGAGAAAATAATCTGGTTAGAAAACACTGGTCTCTTCAGTCTCATAGGGAAAATTAGCATTCACGGCCCCGCCCACAGGAAGGAGAGAGCACGGCACGTCTCAGCTAGTGGAAGCTAACTGCTAACACACTCGGGCTTGTATTTTAGTAGAGATTGCATTTTTTTCCAAAAATATGTTTTACATTATTGTTAATTCTGTTTAACAAAGACACCAAAAGAGGTGTGTGGGTTAGGGTTAGGCATAGCAGGAATATTAACGAGTGGCATTATGCTAAATACAACAACTCAGAGTGTTTGGCCATGAAAACACCAAATCTCAGCTCAACATCTCAGACTTATGGCTCTGGTTGTGTTTGCAGGTTTTGATTAGCTGCATTAATTTTAAAAACAACATTTATTTTGTAAAATTTTAGATTAAGATGAAAATCAACATAAGCTGTATGTCCGACCCAGCTCTGAGGACTTTCTGACATTTTCCTGGTCCCTGAACTCACCACAAATAATCACTCATCAGATCAGAACTAATCATGTGGAAAGTTTTGTCTACGTAATCATGGATTTCTAGTTAATTAACCATCTATAAATGCTGTTTGTTTAATTGATGAGGTCTGTACAAGAATCAGACCAGATTTAGTGCATCATCTAAATTAGGGCCAGTCCAGATCCGGTTGTTGCTTCAAAAACATAAATATAGAGACGTTCTCACCAAAAGCTGCTGATAACCTCCTCCTACCTGCATCATCGCCCACCAGAGGTCCCCTGGAGTTGTACCACATCACACCATCCTGCTCTTCTGTCACGTTACATTCAATGAGCGCGCTGGATCCCTCCTGCACCATGATAACCCTGCTGGAGGAGACAGAGTCCAGCTGCACCTGGGACACAGCTTCTGAGCCTCCAGGTGCTCCAGGTGCTGTGCAGCCGGCAAGCAGCAGGACCGCAAGGAGCGTTTGTGACAGGTGGTGATTCTCAGGTGAAAACATGACGTGAGGGTTGAAAATCTCACTTCACATCTGGACAAGACAAACCTGCAGAACAGGAAGAATCAGAGGCAGCCGTGACTTCTGACCTACTAATCTGTTAGATCAATCGGTTACCTCTTCTAAGCTCACCTAAAACGTTTTAAATCTGTTTAGGTTGAATTTAAATGATTTAAAAGACATGTTATTTTTAGAAATTAAATGTTTCACAAAATCACAGCTTTTGCTTCATCATCACTTTAAAAATGGGAAAATATATCGAGGTGGTTAAAGTACATGATTCCAACTTCGTCTCACAACTCTCAACAGGAACTAGAGCCGGTCCATGCAGGTAGGCCTACGGGACAGGTGGCTAAAGGGCAGAACATTCATTTAAATCCATTCCCAAACCACTAGTTTCTTTGAAACATCAGAATTTAAGTGACTTACAGTTTAACCCAACACTGAAGCATTAAAGTCAATAGTTTAGGCTGAAAGCTCTGGGATTCTCTCAGGTAACATCTAGACACTTTCCAAACCAATATTTATATTCTCACCTGCTGCTGCCAGCGTCTGAAACTACAAATCCTCAGCTGGAGCTGAAACAGTCGGAGTACATCAAAATCAGTGTTTTTTTTCTTCTTTACTCCTTCCTGGATCAGGTGAAACTGAGTGGGCGGGGCTTACGTGTGACTGATAAAACTTTATTATAGCGCCACCGCTGGGTTCCTCACTCTCCAAACCCAACTGGAGTCAACTATGCCCGTTTTTATACAGCCTCGATACAGCCATACAGTTGCTAATCCTGGTGTAGTAAGGAAAACAGATCCCTTGACTTTTCTAGTTTACCTGTTGGGATTTAATATTTTAAATAATTTGCATAAATTTTTATGTTTATATCTAATTATCATGCCATACCATGTGTCCGATTTTGTGAAAAAACACAAAATATGTTTTTTAGTTGGGTAAGCTAAAAAATCCGCTGCGGGCGAATGAAGACCCACCCAAGATGGCGGCCAGGAAATACGAACCAGTCCACTGGACGTCTACGTGTTTATGTTTATGGTCCGACGACATTTAAGATATCTGAAATGTTCACTTTGGATTGTACGAAGGTTATTATACATATCTGATATACATTTCCAGTTCGTCTAATAAATGTTAAAACAACCACCGAATAGTTTTGAGCCTTCTGAGTAAACTCAGTCTTAATTCCTAATTATACGGTTGTCATTTTGGATGGTCTTAAATTAAATTTCTGCTAGTAACACATCTATCTTTATATTTTAGTTTGAATCGTTTTTGGGGTTTTGATTAAATGTGAGAATGACTTGCCCTACAGTCGCTAGCTAAGAGGCTAACAGCTAGCCGTAACCTTTGAAAACAAACTGTGACGTGGCTAATCTGCTCGGACAGCAACAAGAAAACCCGAATCCCCGAGCGTCATATCGGAAACGTTAGACCCCCCAACGCTAAAGTACGAGTTTAAACTACAAGAAATAAACCCGCGAAGGAAAACAGGCTTTCTGCTGCTAACAACAACCAGCTGAGCAGGAGAAAAGGTGAGTTTATGCCCATCAGTTTCATTCCTGCCTTATTTCGGTTGTTCATAATTCTATTTACCAATATAGCTATTAAAGGCTCATGTTAAATACAATGTCTTGGTGGTGGAAGGTTCATGAACGCGTCATTATCTAGTTGATTAAATACGTGATTAACAAGTAAAAAGTCAGTGTTTCCCTTCGCTTCGTAACAAAGTATTCTACTGGTTTATTCAGACACGTGGGTGTTATGAAAATGCAACAATGCTAAAGTTTGACCCTTGTTGCCCCATTTTTGGAGTCCAGGAAACCAAACAGCAGCAGAGGAGAGTCTGTTTGCATGATCCTGATGCGTAGCTTACACAAACGAGTGGATACGAGCATTTGTGGTCCTACTTGTTGCACGAGAGCTTCATGCGTTCAGAAGCTTGCAGGTAAACAGTGGTTCTGCTGTTCTGCAGGTATGCACTGCTGCTGCTGAGACACCTGCTGAGATGTCAGACAGCGAAGCTTCTGCTGCAGCAACGCAGGATGCTTCTCCATCAGCTGACAGCACCTCCTTGTCCACACACCTGGCCCCGACCAGGAAAGCCAGGAGGAGCCCGGAGGCCAGGGCTGAAGCAGAGGAGAAGCCAGCGGAGGTAGAAGCTTTCATTGCCCCACAACGCACACACACAAGGGAGTAAGAGATTATCTTATAAAACATATCAGGGCAAACGACCACAGCGTGGAGTCCCAACAATGAGGAAGATTGAAGAACTGTGGTGGAACTAGAACATTATGTGCATTCAGAATGCCCACTGCAGTTGAGCCGGTTAGTTTAGAGTGTGAAGAGGATCGTTATGTGCTTTATATCAGAATCCCATCATTCAGACTAACTGGTTCAGACTCACGTTTAGATATTTCAGGTAAAGTGATTCTGTGAGCAGAGACCTGAAACATTCAACACGTCTGCTGGTTTATTCTCTTTTCCCACAGCTTAACCCTTTCAGTCATCCAGGTGCTTTTATTTACAGAAAATGTAAAGAAAGGTTTCATTATGCATTTATGACATGTAAAAACACCAAAATGCAGCAAAAATATAAAATGTGTTTTTCCATAACAACTGGTTTGGATCTTTGAGTTTTCTTGTCTTTGTGATAAACCAAATCTGTAACTACAAATATTTGCCCTAAATATCCTTGTTTGGTGAGTTCCTGGTGCTCTGGGCAGTTTTTGACCACCTTAAGGAGATGTACTGAGGCTGGAGTTAATGCTGCTCTAATGCAGAGAAGATCGAGGCTCCTCTGCTGATGTAGGAAGTAAAAATAATCTCTCAGGATTATTCTTAGCTGAGTCACTTTTAAACGAATAAACTGTAGACACGCACCTGACTCCTGGTCTCAGTGTTTGTTTTTTGTTTCCCTTTCTCGGACAGACGTGTAGCCCGGCGACGATCTCTCAGGGGGGGTGGGGATACTGGGGCAGCTGGGGCAAATCCATTCTGACCACAGCAACAGCCACTGTGGCCACTGTGGGTGAGTGTCCGGCTGCTGTTGACAGAAATCATCACCTTGGTAACGAACAGCGACATGATGGTGTTGGTTTGATCAGCCTGACCCTGTGTGTCCAGGACAAGGCCTCACTCAGGTGATAGAGAAAGCCGAGACGACTCTGGGGATCCCGAGTCCGACCGAACTGTCGGCTCAGGCGGAAGAGGAGAGGCAGCAGGGTGAGCGACGTTGTGAGCTCCAGACAAACCAAAAGTCACTCGCTCTAAAGGCTCTTCTTCTGCAGGTGAGGCCGGTGATGAGAAGCAAGCTGAGAGCGACGGATCGTCACCGGTGGGAAGTGCGATGGGGATGCTGTCGTCTCTCACCAGCGTGGTCCAGAACACGGTAAGTGGATGTTTAGCGGTGCTGACGTTCCAGGCAGCTTCCAAACCAAACAACACTAAAAGATAGCGTTCACAGGGGAAGACGGTGGTCAGTGGAGGTCTGGATGCTCTGGAGTTCATCGGGAAGAAGACGATGGACATGATAGCAGAAGGTGATCCTGGCTTTAAGAAGACCAAAGGTCTGATGAACCGGAATGCCACTCTATCCCAGGTGGGTCCAGTTTAAACCGTGGATCTGATGGGATCATGTAAGGACCGTCTTACACCATCCAGGCTGTCTCTGGTCTTCGTGGACCGGATCGCTAGGTGCACTCAGAGAGAGGAGGGCTTCTGGTTTGGGAACCTCTCATCTCTGCTTTTTGTAGATTCTGGTTCTGTTCTTCAGGCTCCCTTCAGCAGAAACGGTGTCGCTCACAGCTAGGACGAGATTCATCTCTACGTCTGAGGTCCTGCTTCTGGATCGTAACATTCCAGTTGCAGGGTATCCGCGGGTCCTTAAAACGTCTTAAAACGTCTTAAATTAGCTTTTCCAAATTTAAGGCCTTAAAAATCCTTAAAAATGACAAATAATCCTTAAATACATTTTCCAAATGTCTTAAATGACCAAAGACCCAATAAACAAGATTATTTTATTTCTATAAAATTTTTGTAAATTTCTAGTTAGTGTTCAACATTTTTGTGTACGATGTTGCTGTAAGTGGAACCGTACACATTCAGTTGGTTGTGAAAGGGGGCTATTTTTAGATGCGCACATTAGCTGGTTAAGCTAGTGGGAGCTTGGATGGCTAATCCCACGTTGGCGACGTGGTTAGCATCGGTTCCAGGCAATAGCTGGAAATTATAGCTTAAATTTAATTTTAAAAAAATTGCTTAAATTTGGTCACAATGATCTTAAAGAAGGTCTTAAAAAGTCTTAAATTTGGCTCCCTTACCCCTGAGTTACCACCTGTAGTTATGAGAGTTAAATCACGGATGTGATCCTGGATCCAAGCAGCTGAGCTGCTGAGGTGGTGCATGCAGCTGACCAGGACGTCTCCATCCTCTGGAGGTTTTCCAGGACCCGGGGTAGAGCCTGGGTCATATCCTGTGATGCTTCTGAGTCGAGGGATGTCTGTTTCCCTTCTGGACCCAACCTGGGATAAGTGAAGGTTTTTGTTCTCTCTCTGTGTTCCTCAGGTGCTGCGGGAAGCAAAGGAGCGAGAGGAGCTTCAGACAGCAGGGGCGGAGTCATCAGACCCTGAGAAGAAAGCGGTAGCTCATTATGGGATGTTGTTTGATGAATTTCAGGGTCTGTCGCACCTGGAAGCTCTGGAGATCCTGTCCAGGGAGAGCGAATCAAAGGTGGAGCTTCAGTCAATCATCTATAAACGACTTCCGCATCAGTAAACTCAGGTAGCTTCAGCTCAGACCGTGTGTGTGTGTGTGTGTGTGTGTGTGTGTGTGTGTGTGTGTGTGTGTGTGTGTGTGTGTGTGTGTGTGTGTGTGTGTTTAGGTGAAGTCGGTGCTGACGACTCTGTCCGGAGACCAGCTGGTCCAGCTCAGGGAGGAGCTGGACCAAATCAAGGACTCCTTCTCCATGGTGGAGTTTGATGAGGAGGAAGAGGAGGAGACTGAAGGTGAAACGGCTGCAGAAGCAGGATGACATCATCACCTCAGACATCACTAAACTAAACTGTTGTGTGTTTTTGAATCTCAGATGACGGAGGAGCAGAGTTTGAGAAGGAGCTAACGGAACTCCTGGAGGGTCTTCATGTGTCCGCCACGGCCGACAAACTCAGCACGGTACGAGTTTCCCGGTCCTGGAGCAGAACGCCGGCGCTTGTCTGGGTCCAAATGGAGATAGTTTAATCATGTTGGAGTTTTATCTTTAAAGGAGCTACATAAAAAACCTTTCTTCTCCTTTGGGAAGCAGGTCGAGAAACACAAATAACAGTTACAAACTAAAAAGTACAAATTTACACCAACAAAAAAACCAAGATGGAGGTCATTCAGCATAAGCAAAGAGCTCAGAGGAGGCAAGCATCAGGTGATCCGTCCGGCAGGGTGCAAAGTCAGAGCGTTGGTGATGATGATGATGTCATTTAAAAGGAGCACAAACGGGAGAGGAGTTCACCCAGATAAAAATAAAGCAGTGCCGTTTTCTCCTCAGACCTAAATAAGGCAGACATCCTGTCGACTGGTGTTCTGATGCTGGTTCTGCTGGTCTCATCGGAGATCTGGGGGTGGTTTCTAGAGAACATTCATCTGGTTTTATTCATGTTGGGTTTAAGTGCTGCGTTCACAAAACTGATCAAGTCTGATGTGCACGGAGAAGCATTTCCTTCCTTTGTCTCAACGCATCGCTCACATCCAAGATGGCTCCCGTTACCTTCCTGTGACCTGATCTAAAACCAGAATGAGTTTGCTGTTTCAGTTGGGTTTCAAATGTAAACAAGAAAAGTGAAGTTTGTGTTCTCCGACAGGCCTGTAAGAACATCTGCAGCACAGTCAGTGACATGAACAAACCCCTGAACAAAGAGGGTGACGAGGAGGAAACGCTGCGCCACTCTGCAGAGGTAAGGCGGACTCATGCCACAGAAATAAACCCATCCTGGTTTAGTTTCTGTCTGTTTTCCAACCTAGCAGCTTCCCAGGAGGCTTTGAAGTTTTGACCAACTCTTTTCTAGATCTGCTGGAGATCTGTTCAGACTCTTTCTGACTTCAGCTGCTTATTAAACAATTTTTATTCCAGAATAAGTGAAAGTGACACGTAAAGAATCAGGAAAGAGTCGAGACGTTTCCGTTTACCTTCTTTACAGTTTTACACTAAACGTTGCAAAGCTCTGCGGTCAGGAAGCTGCTAGGATACCATGAAGGAAATGTAGGAGACATTTCTAAAGTCTGTTATGTTTTTAGGTTACCGTAAATCCTCTAATATTGGTCTGTATTCAATTAATGGCCGGGTATCATATTTTGGCCGGTGTCTGAGTCGGCGGAGGTGAATAATGGCCGGTTTTTTATTGTGGCCGGGTGGAATGTGGTAACAAGCAAGTACGGGGGGCGGTTGTGTCATTGTCTCACTTTTGATTTACCAGTGATAGACTGCGAGGGTAACTTTAACCGTGCGGAGACGAAGAGGAGGTGAAAATTTGATATCAAGTTCAAAGAGAACGTGCTGATTATGCTGCAGAACACTCTGGGGAGCAGTAGCAGGGGTTGTATGAACTAGTCGACTTTACCGCTCTATAGTGACTTTTTATGCCTGTCATCGACTAGTCACTGTCACGTGATAATGACCGGCAAGATGCAGTCCACAGAAAAGACAGCAGCCTGGGGGGGGGGGGGGGGGGGGGGCGCTGTGCCAGAGCGTCGGTACTGACACGCGATCGTTCATGTCGGCTCATTTCCTTTCATGTTTTCTGTCTTTTATTTGCGCCTGATGTGTTTCGCTGCTGTGGAGCGGGGCGCATTACCTTGTCCTCCGGTGACGCACCGATCACTGATGCGGCCGGCAAGCAGCGAACACTCCGCTGTTTTTGCGGTTGGTAGATCTTTTAGAACTGCAGTTCAAAGGTAACTCATAAGGTGAATATATATGAACCCAGGTAGCAGTTTCTCTTTAGGATTGAGAGGAGATGCAGGAAGATAATAAACAGACAGGATAGAGAAATAGTCAAATAACAACAAGTTAGTTTTTGTACCTGGTTGCAACAAACAGACACCATTGAAGGTAATCAGAAGTGAGGAACAGAAAATGAAATAATTATTTTAATGTTTAGAGCAGCAGGAACTCCGAGAGGCTGCAGGCGCATCAGTGAGTTTGCGGCCGCTGCGCAGGGGGAGGGGGGAGAGGGCTGAAGCAGGAACTACCGTTGTTAAAAGAAATGTGTTTAACTTTGAAACTGTGGGCGCAATATTAATTGTCAAAAACTCCAGTGAACCATTAGTTCATTTTGCTCAAATAGAAATTGAGGCCTGCCTCTAATACTGGCCCTCCTTCCAATAAAGGCCTGGACCTTGATGAGCTTGAGTCAAATACAGGTCTGGGCCTGTATTAGAGGATTTACGGTATAAATGTGTAAATAAAGGAATAAAAAGTGTGTTTTAACTGGTTAGGAGGTTCATGCTGCAGCCATCAGGAGTCTGGCTGAGCTGACAGCGCGGTCCATCGAGCTTTTCCACAAACTGGCTGAGATTATCCTGACCTCCAGCAGCTGTGTCGAGGCCAGCATCTTGTCACAGTGAGGAACTACAAAGACTTCCTGTTCCTACACCTGAGCACAACTTTAGTGCAGAAACTCAGCTTTTCTCCTTTCTGTCCTCAGATTAACCGTTGTCCTGTGTAAAGAAATCTCACAGCTTTCTAAGAAATTCACTTCCTGTTTGACCACAGCAGGGGTAAGTGGGCTGGTTGTCTTCGAAAGTCTTACGTCAGCATTTGGTGAATTATTGTCATCATTCTGTTTGTAAACTACAGCTGTGTGTGTGTGTGTGTGTGTGTGTGTGTGTGTGTGTGTGTGTGTGTGTGTGTGTGTGTGTGCAAATCTAAAGAAGAATAGGTTTTACTTACATTATTGTTTCTGTGGGATTTATGATTTCGGAGTCCCGCAGGGATCAGTTCTCGCAACATTTGGTGTGAGATTTCAGTATTTGACCCTGTAGCGTCATGAATGTCCTGTTTATGACCTAAAGGTCATGATCTGCTGCGTCTGCTCGAGCAGAGACCTAAAGTCTCTGACAGGCTAATCTACATGAGATAGTGGCCAAGGTCTTTCATGCACTCTGCTCATCTGAACTACTTCACCTCTGTTACAGCGAAGACGAAGAACTATTTTGATAAATACATAATAAACAACTTTGTTAATTACCAATAATAATGTGAGCCCAATGTTCAATCAATCTGTGAAATGACAATGTTATTACTTGATATTATAATTCTGTGATCAGTAGTATTTTACAAGTAATTATAATCCTGGACATTTGCACTAGACACTAATGACACATAATGTTAAAGTCACACGACACATGTCCTTTTGTCTGATCCAATCAGAACCTTCGTTTCTGGCGCAAGGCGTGGTTATCTGCGGTGTTTGTATAAACCCTCTTTTGCATGTCAAATCCTGATTCCATGCTGTAGTTCTTTTTTAAAACACAGAGCAGTTTTGTTTACCTGTTTTCCCGCTACGTTTCGTTTGCGGCTGCAAACTTCCTCAGGCTGACGCTGATGGTGGCGTCACTTCCTTCTTCGTTTATCCGCGGGCAGCAGAGGACGTTGTCGCCCTCTGCTGCCCGCTCTCCCCTTTCCCATGCAAACTCTGCAATAAAATATACATAGGAGAAACCGGACGCCAACTCAACACACGAACAACAGAACATAGAAAGGAGTGCGAGAAAGAGGCGAGTAGAAAACACACAAGAGCAGCAAAAGAAGAAGCAGAAAGCACAATAAAGAAGTCAGCCGTAACAGATCTCTGCATAAGAGAAAACCATATAATGGACTGGGACAACACACGGATCATAAACACCGAACAACAAAAATACACAAGATGGATAAAAGAAGCTATCGAGATAAGGAGACGCGGATGTGGGGCCATGAACAGGGACGATGGAGTTTACACGCTGGGTCGCACATGGGACTGCATCATGGGAGAGGGGAGAGCGGGCAGCAGAGGGCGACAACGTCTTCTGCTGCCCGCGGATAAACGGAGAAGGAAGTGATGCCACCATCAGCGTCAGCCTGAGGAAGCCTGCAGCTGCAAACGAAACGTAGCGGGAAAACAGGTAAACAAAACTGCTCTGTGTTTTAAAAAAGAACTACAGCATGGAATTAGAGATACGACACAGCAAGAACACACCTAAGATTGTCAAATTCTAATTTGCCAGTAAACCAAAATAAGACAATTATAAAAACTATTCCACACCACCTTTTCTTTAGTTCAAAGCGTTCTAGAGAAGTCTCGGACCGGCCATCCGCACTTCCTCTTCAGCCATAAAGAACCTCACACAAGCTGGATAAGATCTGTTGCACGTTACACCTGACCGCAACGGTTCCTTCAGAATAAAAGCTGAACCTCACGACCCCTTCAGGGTCTCGGAGACGCCAGTGATAACCTGTCGTGACCTGGAAGCATTCCAAGACTAGTTTGTAGGGATGAGCCGGACACTCGTTTCAGACTAGTATCTGGTACGGATAAAGCATTTTTGACGAGTACGAGCATGGAACGAGTAAAACTGGTAAATATCTGTAATCGTGCTGAAGGAAAATCCTCATTGGGTAACTGACTGTCTTCACGCTCGGTGATTGGCCAGTAAAATAGCGAGCCCGCCCCTCCCTACACATCAAACTGCAGCCGGGAACTCAGCTCAGTCCGTGTCCGGTTCATCCACGCACACACAGACAGTAACAGATCTCTCTGTGCTTGCTTCACTGTTCACGTTTCTTCAGTGCTCCCTATGTTTTCTTCAGTTTGCTTCTTTTTAAAGTTACTTTAAAGTTATTTAAAGTTATTTTTTTCGTAACGTACGTGGTGTATTTGACAAGACAGAGCTGAAAACGGCTCGTGCTGCGTCGGTCACTGCTTCCGCTCCAGTCGGGGTTCCTTTTCCCCCCTCTCTCTCTCCTCTTCCTGAGGAGGATCAACTCCCTCTTTCCTATTCACTCTCTCTCTTTCTTTACATTTTTAATCACAACTGTCTATTTTTGCTAATATTAAATATATTTTAATCATTTTCTAAATTATTTTTTCTATTTTACATGTTTTGTTTTTGTGAAGCGCCCCATGATTTTTATCTTGAGAGGCGCTATAGAAAAGATCTTTTCTTCTCTCTCTCTCTTAATTCATGCACTTAAATATTAATGTTCTGATTTTATTGAAAAACTTATTCTGTAATAGTTCCTTTACCATTGTGATCAAAATAATTTAATCTCAACTCTGAGGCTGCTCTGTAAATAGTTTTCAAATAAACAATACACATAGCAACTTCTGATCAGACTTAAAATAACGTATTGATGTAAACCACACCCACTTCCGGTTAAACTACACCCACTTCCGGGTTAGGCCACGCCCACTCCGTGTACAGATACAGAAACAGATCATTTAGATGGTTGAACAGATACAGATAGTGGTGTACTCGCTCATCCCTACTAGTTTGGTCAGCACCGCTGCTTTTCTACTGGCTTCGGTTCCAAAGAGGGTCCTTGAGGACCTCGGCATTCTGGATCTGATCAGAGGCTTCCCCTGGGGTACGTAGACCGACAGATGGCGTTTCATGTGTGTTATAAATCTCCTACTAAAGTTTAGAACGAAACATTCACTCCCACTCAGAACTAAGTGCTTCTCCGGATCCGCTGGTTCTGAATAACACTCCACACACACACCATCATTATTCATCATGTCTCACTCCACCTTAGTCCATCAGTACACAGAGTGTCTAAGCTAGTTTTGTTTAAACTGTGTAGAAATACATTTCTTAACTATTTTAAACCTGACTCTCTCTCTTTCCTTGGAGTTAATACGAAGTGTCGCTTAATCCCTGCAATAAAAAGTTCTGATCTTCTGGTTAAAATAGTCAAAGATCCATCAGATTGATATTTCATATTTCTATGGAATCTCACCTTTTATGGTTCATAAAGTAAGATGTAAACGACCCATCCTTTACACCCCAAACACCTATAACTCCATAGTTTCTAAACACGAGTAGAAACTCAGGAGCTAAAGGCAGCAGGTGAAAAAAAATCTCTTCTAGGACTAATCTAATTATTTATTTATTTTTTTTCTATAATTCAGTAAACACCCTCATGCAGCAGTTTGCTTGTTAACATTGTGTTTTTTTGTCTCTTTGGTTTAAAACCAAAACTACAGCTGTTGCTGTTAAACCAGAGTTACTGGGATTATTTAACTCAGAGTTAGGATTAGGTTTAGGTAGATTTCTGCATTCTGGTGATTTTTCATCATTTCTGTCCCACTTCTCTGTCCTGGTTTACTTTGTGCCGTGATTAAACTCCGTTGTGTTTTTTCTGTTTTCACGCGTTGGTGCATAAACCTATATTTGACCTGAAGGTTCTGTTTTACAGTCCAGTCAGAAGGGGGACGTCCTGAACCCGCTGATCACCGGAGTCTTTCTCGAGGTTTGTGTCACGTTTGTGTTTAAATCTTGGTAATAAATTCACTGATTTGTTTGTTTGTTTGTTTGTTTGTTTGTTTGTTTGCTAACCAGTTACTTCATTAACATTTCAGTGTGTATTTCAGAAAAGTGTGCCTGATGCTAACTGGTGTCGATAATACTCACACAGGCTTCCAACAGTGCCTCTTATACCCAGGATGCTTTCCAGCTCCTCATGCCCATTCTGGAGATATCCCACATCCAGAGGAGAGCAGAATTCTCGGAGCAGTGACCAGGTGATCTCCCCTACTACCTCTGCTGTTGCCATGACAACTGGAGTCAAGCTCTCCTAGCAAAGACCTGCCACATCTTTAAAACATTCATAAAAACAACAAAGGTGTTTTTTTTTCTTTTCTGTGTTAAAACAATTTTCACATCTGAAAAGAGAATCCGGTTCGTGTCGGTGTTTCATTTTTTTGTTTTCTTGACAGAACAGTTGATGGTTGTTAAAAAAAACTGCACCTGGGTCTGGGTCTGGGTCTGTATCTGGACATGGACCTGGGTCTGGACATGGACATGGACCTGGGTCTGTATCTTGACATGGATCTGGGTCTGGGTTTGGGTCTGGGTCTGTATCTGGACATGGACCTTTCAGCTCTCTGACTAGGATAAGAACGGCTGTTCTTCTGTTCAAATGGTTTTTTTTATTCTGAAACACTTTCATGAGGTAAAAACAAATCTGTTCAACAGTTTCAGTTAAAACATAATTTCATTTCCTGTGACTCAGAACTGGTTTCATTCTGTTGGTTTTTACAACATGAAACATTCAGAGTTTAACACTAAGAACAAGAGATTTCCTGTCATTGTAAAAGAAAAGGAAAATAATGAGTAAATGTGATAGAAGTAGAAAGTTGCATCATAAAAACACCTTAATGATTGGCTGTTAAAGTGACTGTGTGTATTTTTCCTGGCGGTAGGGGGTGGTACATTTTATTTTATTTAACCAGATGAGTGGATTGAGACGATCTGGCCACGAGGCAGCAGCTACAGAAACATAGTTAGCTTTACATCAAAGAAAAACAGGTACGATAAAATCATACACGATCAAAACAAGATAAAATTGTTAGACAGAGACAAAGGACTGTTCTCATATGTACAAGCAATTAAAACAAACCTAGAACAGCCTTTATATTTATTTACATACTTAAATCATTGCACGCAATCGATATTTTGTGTTTGAGTAAGACCTTAACAACGGATGGCTATTAGGGTCAAAAATCCCTGGAAGTGCAAACTCCAGCAAAATGACACACATCAGACTCCCTCTCATCACTGGCGACTGAAGAGGTAAACGTGTAAAACAACGTTCATGAATGGCAAAAGTTTTGTAACTGTTTGTTACAAATCAGTAAATGTGTTTTGTCCTCATGGGCTCCCATAGAAGGAAACATGGCGTCTAATATGCTGTCTCCTATAGACGTAGACCCACTCCCACGTATTTTAGACCTGATTTTTTCTAGTTATGTTACGAAGCCACCGATATTTTTCAACACCTGGGCATCACTTGATTTATTTTCAACATTTTGATGGATGTTCCTAGAGATTAACGATAAAAACGACACGTTTCTTTAAAAATAGTAATGTTTCCATTTATTTCTGTTGATCATCTGTTTGATAGGATCAAGACAGGATACTTATATTTGCCTTTTATAAATAAGTGTATTAGTAGTAAAAAATAAAAATACAGAGATGAAATGAAGCCAAAATTATAACAGAAGGCAACATGTACGATATATTTATGTAATGGAAAATAGTAGAATAATGTGGGCTAAATAAATTGCTTTAAAGGCTATTTATTTCTATTCTCATTACTTGTGACCGATAGCTGTAACACTCTATTAATTATAGAATATCGCCTTGCTTGGTCTTAGGATGATTTATTAGAAGGTTCTAGGATTCTTTTAATTATTAAGGGATCGTTCACACTTCGCCTATGATTCAAGAACCAGTCAGTGTTTGCAAACAAATAAGAATTTATTTTCCAAACAAGACTTGACAAATGGTTTAAACTATTATCCTGTGAGTGGATGGAACTAAAAGATGGGTGTCTGAAAACTATATGTGAATATGAGATGATGAATCAGAATCTCCGTATCTTCAGAGAGGTGCGTTCTGGATAAAAGAATTTGGTTTGCATCTAAACTATAAAGTTGCTATTATCAGAACTACATGCAGACACTATCTCGTTGTGTCTACCGCACCCATTTGGAGACCCCAATTGGATCCGAGATGTCTAGGAGCCGACGACCCCACTGCACCTGGCTTGTAGAGAAACCTCGATGCGACCAAATCAGTCCTCAGATGCCTCCGGGTCACAACCATAGATGAATGGAACCAAGCGTCTTAAAATGAACTCTGAAGTAGTTTGAGTCGGCTTTGTTCTGCAGGAAAACTATCTTGTTGTTCAGCTTCGCAGGTGCAAAAAGCTTTAAGGTTTTGACAGCGTGTCAAAATCTTTCTGAGCTAGAGATCTGCTAAGAGATGGCCAGTCTCCAGCTTTCTCTCCCGACTGCCGAAAAAGCAGAGCGGCTGGTTTATATACCCGCTGTTATCTATTACCAAACTTACCAAGAATCACAAGCCCTTTTCAGATTGACATTCTGGAATATGTGTGGACAATTCAGTCCAGTTTTTAACCAGAACTGTATTTTCAGACACCACTTTTGTACCTGAACTTGTCCTTTCGGCTGCCTTCACACAGCAAGGAAAAGTTCCAGATGTCTGAGGGGGAGGGGGTGGGAAGGTTATACCCGGATATTGCGTAAACATAGTGCGGTGGGCGTACATGCGTCATTTACCCAAACAAAGCTATTCAGTCAAACATGGCCTACGAAGAGATAGAATTACTCTCACTGTTAAGCATAACTCTGCGCACACAAAGATGCATAAGAGACCTGGATGATGAAGCTCAATGGTTAATAAAGGAATCACGGAAGCGGTGTGAAGCGCTCCGTCGCGCGTCTAGGAGACGGTACCGTAGGAGCCGAGCTGCCATGGTTCGCCGCATGCTACAGGAGCGAGCTAACTAGGTGCGCACAGCGTCCCCCGGTCCCCTCCCCCTCCTCCCTGTCCCGAACTCGACCTCACCAGTCTGAAGCAGCCACCCTGTCCGTGACAAGTCCGGTCCTGTTACTAGGGGCTTCGTCCGGTTTAATTATGGAACACGTTATCCGGATGTTTGTATTCAGACACAAAGGTCTTAAGGACAGAGTCCCGAACATTTCCATTTTTCTTGGCCTGTCTGAAGGGGGCTCCAGAAACACACGCTCTGAGATGCAGAGTCTCTGAGTCTAGGGACAAGGTTAGTTATGTGTCATGCATTCTTATCTTAGCCTTACTTCTTGTCTGGCGTAATGAGCAGATGGTGATAACCTCATCTAGTAAACATACTAAACCATCATTGAATACAGACTCCTGAACATTTCATTGCCTAATTATACATGGCAATATGTAATGATCATAAAATCTTCTTTCATCAATGATTATTTTGAATGATAAAATTATTACTTTAATTATGAAATATTCTTTCTTCTGGGAATAAAGATTTATCTAAAACAGTTCTGTTGTGAAGGAACCTTGGGGAAAGGAATGCTACTGTTCATCTTTATTATCTGATGAAGCTGCGCTCAGCTGATGAAGTCATCTGATTAAAATGCTGAGTTGTGCAGACTCACAGACTCCTGAAAGATACAGCAGGACATGTAGTAGCCAGGGTTATTTGCTCTGGCTGCATATGACCTGTGGGATCTTTAAAATCAGTCCATTTTGTGACGTTACATCTGCATCGGAATCGGCCAATGTTAGTCTTTGTTTTGTGTGTGTGTGTGTGTGTGTGTGTGTGTGTGTGTGTGTGTGTGTGTCCTGTCTGGCTGTGGAGCAAACAGAATTGATGTCTGAATGCTGGAGACAAGCCTTACAGATTTACTCTCAGGTGGAGCATCAAAGCGTCTGCTTTTAATGTCACGCCTGATACTTAAAACTTTATGGTTATTGTTGTTGAATGCTTTGTAATTCCGACCAGACACGGAGTCAGAGGTGAAAGAGAAAGGAAGCGACAAAAGATGGGGGGGGGGGGGGGGTCCACAAAAATAAACAATAATGAACAAGAATCTGCTTCCAGACCTGCAGAAAGAAACAAGAAAAAAAAGCAAACAAAAAAATGGGACACAACAACAATACAAAATCAAGCTATCACTGCATCAACTTGATGAAGAAATAAATAATCAACATTGTTTAACTGAACAATCACACAATAATAAATCACAGTGCATTAAGTGCCCACCATAGTCTTAAGACATGTGTTTAACGTGCCCAAGCCCATACTTATGAGAGCACCATGTGAGCACCTGTGTGTGTACACGTGCTTGTTTATGTAAGGTTTCTCTATAGGAGCGTCCAATAGAGAGTGTGAGGGGCCACAGATCTGCCCCCCAAAGATGTGTAGGAGACGGAGGGAGCTCCAATGTTAGTCATTTTTAATGTTGGTATGATGACTAAAACTGGGCCGATAATAATCTAAATGTTTTGTCATCTTGTTGCTATTTGTGTATCTGAGGCAGAGGGTTAGGCGAGTGATGATGCGTAAATATTTAGTCGTGATAGTGATGGTAATCATCTCAGAAGCTTAAGTTCTGTGTGTGTTTTTAGGGGTGTGTATTGGCACAAATCTGGCAATACTATATATATATATATATATATATATATATATATATATATATATATATATATATATATATATACAGTATCAGTAAAAATATTTATTGCAGGGGACTAATCATCATGAAACATGGAAAGAAGAGTTTACACTCTGCATGGAACTAGCTCTGCCGGATGCTGAGGAAAAGGCGAGAGTGAAGCCGTTTTACTATCTGATCGAGGAACGGGGCAGAGAGCTCTGTGGAACGCTGATCGGAGCGGAGTCAAGAGTAACAGTAAGTGAGCTGATGAGAAAATAGATGAACACTGCAATCCCAATGTTAATGAGACTGTTGAGAGATACAGATTTTTTTACACGCAATCAGGCTCCTGGAGAAAATATTGATTTGGGCCGTAAATTATGTTAATTGAGCGGGTTGTCGCGCAGCGCGCTCCGCTCGCTCGATCAACGACTGAGAAAGAGCGGGAGATTTTCTGCTCACACAAGAGAGAGGATCGGAGGACGCTCCTTATGAATAACTCATAATTTCATTATTGTTTCTCCTGGAAGCGCTCAGTCAGACCGAGTGCTGTGATGTCGGGAGGTCCGGTCTTGGGGAGGGAGCAGGGTGAGTGACGGCGGCTGCAGCGTAATCATCTGTCTCTCTTATTTAGGGACATGGAGAAGTTAAAAGGAGAGAGAAATAGAAGATATAAGTTCTTGTTCCACTTTATTATTTTGTTTCATGATGATAAACGGATGTTAAATTCAGCTTAAAGAGAAGCTGGGAGGAAGCTTTGGTTCATTTTAAGTTACAGGAGATCTTGTTTCCTGTCTGCTCCTCCAGAGACAGCATGGACATGAGGGTTACATGGTGAGGGTCACACAGGACAGGTTAGTGCAGTCACACAGCCGAGCTGGAGGGGGACAGGTGTTGTCCTTTATATCGCAAGCTTGTGTGTTATGTGCATTACAGCCAGTGATCCAAACAGCAGCCCCCCCCCCCCCCCCCAGCTCTCTTGCTTCTGGGTGTTTTTTGTGTGTGGCCCTCGGACCATTATAATTGAGGACCCCTGGTGTAGGAGCTATTTGCAGCTGCTGTTGGTCTGAGTTGAAGTGTTAACAACATCCGGTTCAGCAGGTGGCGCTGTGACTGCTGAGGCGGAGAGTGGCAAGAAAACGAAGCAGGAAGCGTTATTAGCATTAGTCTACAGGGTACATCCAGGCAATTCCAGGTAAATCCGGACTTTAATGTGTTCCTGCCGTTAGTGTTGCTTTGTTTGGCCACGCTGAGTTTAAACAAGACGCGAAAATAAATAAAATCAAAGCGACTGGTGGTTTGTTCGTTCTCGCGGTGTTTAGCATCGCGAGAGCTCCAGGGTTAGCTCTGATGCTAACTAGGTGCTCACGTAGTTTCTGCCGTCCAGGTGTCGTTGGCTGTTTATGTTTCACTTTGAACAGGTTTTAAAACTTTGTTTTCGCGAGTGATTTAATCAAATCCTTCTAAAGATCCCCAGTTATGTGTTTATCACGTCCGGTGCTGTTAGCTAAGGCAGAGCTGCAGCAACAACGGAGGGCATCTGTTAAAACCAAGTTTTAGTCCTGGACCTGCAGTACAGTTTAAATAAGGTCTTCTATCAGGAGAAAAGGATGTGGGAGTTTTGATAAAGAATATACTAAAAATTAAAACATTTAAACAAAAGTAAGTTTGACAACAAAGCCAAACTCCTGTGATGCGTCTCAGTTAGGTTCGTCTGAAAGTAGAAAGAGGTTTGAGGCAAAACGAACAAATCTGTGTTGCAGTCAAGGGTAGTGATCAAAATAACGTGTTATTATGGCCTAGATTATTCATTAGATGTACACATACCCGAGAGATATATGTGGAAATGTTTTTTTTCACCTAAAAACTCAAACTCAAAACCTATGAAAACAGTTTTTGCTTTTTTTTCGCGGAGTAAAACTCACGTTGTTCAGGTGCAAGAATCACAGAACAATCGCTGCGTTTGTAAAAATAAAAGCTTTACAAGAATCATTTTACAGTTGAGCAGCGGTTTGATTGTGTTGTTCTGTGTAAGATTTAATCAGTATTAATTACCTTTTTATTGTGATTATTGTTTAAATCTATTCAAGCATCTCTGATCTTTTTCCAGATTATTTAGTTTTTATTTAAGGCACTGCCCCCCCTCCCCCCGCCCCATCCCCATCTGCAAGACTCTTGGGATTGGAGCGCACCAGCGGACCCGCCAACATGCCAGCCGCTCTGCCAGACTCCAGTCAGATAATCTGTGAAGTCTGGGCGAGCAATGTGGAGGAAGAAATGAGGAAGATCCGACAGATTATTCAGAGCTACAACTACGTCGCTATGGTGAGATCATCTAGTCAGCAGCAGCAAAACAATTGGAATAAATACAAAATACTTTTCTTGTGTTTAATAGTTAAAAATCCTGTTTACCGGCCGGCTTCAGTCCCTGACACGGTAACAAATCCTCTGAATTAATGTCCTGAATTTCTCTCCATTTTCAGGACACAGAATTCCCCGGAGTCGTGGTCCGACCGATCGGTGAGTTTCGCAGCACCGTGGACTACCAGTACCAGCTGCTTCGGTGCAATGTGGACCTCCTGAAGATCATCCAGCTTGGGCTCACATTCATGAACGAAGATGGCGATTATCCTCCAGGCATGACGACGTGGCAGTTCAACTTCAAGTTCAACCTGACGTATGTGAAGCGCTGCTCTGTCTGAAAGCTAAACTTCATTTTAATCATGTCAGGTTTAGCCGTATTACCCATAATGCATCGGAGCAGCAGTCTGCAGAAAATGATCAACATTCAGCTTTCCTGCAGTAAATATCTGGTTGTTTTGCTCATGAGGCTGGTTTATTACCATTTATTTAAGGAATTAAAATAATAAAAACTTCTGTTCCAGTGCTTGGCTTAAAACCCTGTTTCAGTAAGAAGCAAAGATAAAAATAAGGAAGGTGAACTTCTTGAGTATAATACTGCCTAGTGGTTTCATAGGTTTGTTGTAAAAATACAATGAAAGTATCAGTTGATGCTTTTAAATTTAAAGGGCAAGTCACCCCCTACCAGAGTAATACTCCACTCCCACTTCATGTTTGAAAAATGCAATGAATGCTGTTGCCTAGCAGACCAAGAGGGCGGAGGCACTAACAAATACACACACACACACGCAGGCTCACAACGACATTGTGACATATGGTGTACCAGCTAACGTTCTATGGTACCTCTTAGCCAATAGCGATGGCAGATTTAAATTCAAATGCAGTGCAGAGATTTTACCTGACAACGACACAGCACTGACAGTTTTAGGCAGAAACTAAAAATTTTAACTAAAATGCACTAAAGTGCAAAACTATTGACTACACGTGTCTGCAGCACGATTAGACACGCGTTTATATAGTTTATCAGAAAAAAAAAGTTGATTTGGGGGTGACTTGCTCTTTAAAGTTTGGTAGCAAATGTTCAGAGAAGCTTTTCAGAAGATATTTTAGAAAGTTTCTTCATCTGAATGCAGAACAAAAACCATCAGTTTCTCTGGAAGAGATTTTCTGAATGACTCGGGTTCTTTTTCCTAATTTAATTCCATCTTAAAGGCCTTATGTTGCGCTGATGTGTTTGAGGTTGAATCCTCTAAATTCTTGTCCTCGCAGAGAGGACATGTACTCTCAGGACTCCATAGACCTGCTCCAGAACTCAGGCCTGCAGTTCAAGAAACACGAAGAGGAGGGAATCGACACGCTCTACTTTGCCGAGCTCCTGATGACGTCGGGCCTGGTTCTGTGTGAAAACGTCAAGTGGCTGTCCTTCCACAGGTCTGTTGTCATGGTGCTGGGGGGCGGGGCAACCTGTGACATCAGCAGCTGGATATCTAAACACTCATTTCCAACAGTGGCTACGACTTCGGTTACCTGGTGAAGCTGCTGACGGACGCTCGGCTCCCTGAAGAGGAACACGACTTCTTTCAGATCCTCAACTTGTTCTTCCCAGCGATCTACGACGTCAAGTATCTGATGAAGAGCTGCAAGAGTTTAAAGGTACGATCCGCTCCATTATTGCAACCATTCGCCTGCAGCAGCAGCAGCGTGGTCTGACGGCTGTGGGTCTGTTCAGGGCGGACTGCAGGAGGTGGCGGACCAGCTGGAGCTGAAGAGGATCGGGCGACAGCACCAGGCCGGGTCGGACTCGCTGCTCACAGGGATGGCGTTCTTCAGGATGAAAGAGGTATCCTGGTTTTCCTGCTGGCTTGTCTGAGGGTATCTGTTCACCCCAAAATCACAAGTTGTTATCAGAGCTTATCTATCTGGAGGCTGACAAATGTCCATTCTGTTTGATGTTGCCATAGCAACCACATCCTAAATGGCAGGTTTAATTTTTCCGTGATTTGATCAGAATTTTAAACATTTATTGTAATTTATTCCTTAAAAATGTTGATTTCCTCTCGAATCAGAGGAGATTTTCAGTTTGTCGTTGCTGATGAGGGTTTTTTTTTTGTCCAGCTTTTCTTTGAAGACAACATCGATGATGCCAAGTACTGTGGGAGGCTGTACGGCCTGGGCTCAGGCTCCAACCAACCCCAGAACGGCATTTCCAGTTCGGGTCAGGAGGAGACCAACAACAAGCACTGACGGAGCACCTCACACACTCACACGGCCGTTTTTAAAGCCAGCCAGCAGACGTCCCTCTTCCAGAGAGAATCTGAGCCTCCCAGCTGAGTGACTCCCCGGTGGACTCGCCCATCCTTCAGCGGCTCCTGATTTTTTTAAATCACCTTTTAAGCGAGTCGACGTCACGTAGTCCGAACACTTTTAAATCTGCTTTTACGGCGCTGCTCCTGTGTCCGACTGGGATTTTAGAGACTTCAGTTCAGTCAGACAGCTGATATGAATTTTTCTTTTGCTGGGATTTAATTTTCCGTGTCGACGCCCGACGGCCTGTACAGTAAAATGCTTTAGATCATTCCAAAGCTGCAGGAACTTGTGAGCGAGCTCTGTGTGGGAACGTGTCAGTCATCCATCAGCTCCACTGTTTCACGTTCTGCTTGGTTTTCAGCTGTTGTACATTAAACTGTTTTGTATTTTAATTGTAAACTCTTTGTTTGTCCTGTTCTTTATGGAGCGGGTCGGGCTCTGCTCTAGAACTCAAGAAACAAACGGTTTTCATTTTCATCAGTGGTTCTCCTTCCTGTTGGAGGGAACGGCTGAAATCAACCCTCTGGAGTCCGGGTTCGTTACCAAAGTTCTTTATTTGACAGCAGCGGCGCATGACGAGCTCCGATCAGGAGCAGAGTCTCCGCATGGCCTTCAGAACGCTGCGGCTGCTTCCGTGTTTACGGAGCATTTCTTTGGCCTCCTCCTGGAGAACGTCGGACACGGATGACGAAGACCGGCTGAGATGAAGGAGAACAAGGCAACATTCCACCACATCTGGGCGAGGGAACATCTGGAAAGCAAAAATACCAGAAAGAACTTAGTCGGCAAAAAATGAACGATGTTTAATAAACGTCCGTCCGGAGTTAAAGCAGGACGAGGAAACTCGTTTTCACCGCTTTGCTTTAGCCTCATGAAGCTTTAACTCCTGATCAGCAGCTGGAGACGTGTGTGTGTGTGTGTGTGTGTGTGTGTGTGTGTGTGTGTGTGTGTGTGTGTGTGTGTGTGTGTTACCTTGATGGATTCGGGCAGGTCCGACAGCTCCTTCTGATATTTGGACATCTTTGTGGACAAAGACAGAAACGTCTCCTGGTTTTCCGAACTGAACAGAGCACAAAGGTCAAATTAAAAGTCAGGCACCAGATTAGCTCTGGGGACATTTCGTGTGTGGGTGTGTGAGAGAGAGAGAAATCTGTCTTCTCGATCCCCAGTGAGTCGTGGAGGATGGCTGCTTATACTGAGCCAGGATTCTCTGGAGGTTTCTTCCTGTTAAACGGGAGTTTTCCTCTCCACTGTCGCTAAATGTTTGCTTAGCATGAGGATTGCCGTATAGTCACTAACAGTCAGTGACTTGATACAATTTGCTGGGTTCCTTATATAGGAAACATTATTTCTGATTGGCTTAATGAACTGACCTGAATTGGAATGTTTATTATGTGAAGGTCCTCGAGACGACTCTTGTCGTGATTTGGCGCTATATAAATAAACTTGAACTTGTTAATTCTGTAATCTGAGTTTTTGTTTAATAATCTGAATAAACAACCAGATTAGTTGTGAGATCTAATTAGATCTAATAATTGGACAAATTGAGAGACACTGGTGTTAGCCTCACCGCTGCTCCGCATCAGCACCGCTCGGACCGTCTGATAAGGGACTTTGGTCCTGTTGGATCCCAGAGTCCAGCTGACTCCCCAGGACGCGGTTGTGCTGCAGAACCATGGCGGCCAGCTGGTCCTGGATCTCCTTCACAGATCTGTGAGCAGCCTGACTGATGGCGTGCGGCTCCGACAGAAGGACAGACACATCAAAGTCCAGTTCCTCCGAATCTGGGTTCTCCAGCTGGTCTTCTGGCTGTTCAGAAGGAAGTCCGTTCTGGACGTCTTGTCTGCCCGCCGAGTCTCTCCACCAGAACCGGTACAGACGGTGGTAGGAGGCCATCGCCTGCAGGCTGCTGGCCGCTGCACTGGATGCTTCTGTGGTGGGATGAAGAGTTTTGGAATGTCTCCTGGAGAAAACCCGGATGTCTCCTGGAAAACAAAACGGCTCGGTTTGATTAAAGAGTAAAAATGGAGAAGGTAGCTTCTGACCCGGTCTCTGGTGAGCACACGGGTCCAAAAGGATGAATCAGTGGTTTTGGGTTATGGTTGCAGATCACCACCAGCAGATGGCTGTGGTAGGACACACACACACACACACACACACACACACAGAATTATGGGTTTCTGATCATCTGGAGCTGAATGTGAATGGAAAGGTCCGAATGGGCTCGGTACCGTCGGGGAACAGCAGCCTGCAGAACTCTGCAGAGACACAGAAGTGTCCCTCGTCTCGGAGCCAGGACGCCGCCCGCCACAGCTCCTCCAACAGCTGCTGGCCGTCGTCCACCAACCAGCTCAGCAGCGCCCGGGTCAGGTGGACCGAGCAGTACAGCAGAACCTGACGATAGAGACACATGCACTTCAGCTGATTTAAAGAATGGAAAGTTTGTTGTTTTGGACCGTGCCGGGCCAGACTGGACCTGTCTGAGGGGGATGCTGGTGCTGGGTGTTGGACTCTCCACCCTCCTCAGGTCCTGCAGCAGAACATCTGCGCTGTCGGCTCCAACACCGAACTCCTCCTCCCACACATCAGTGACCCGGTCCAGAAAGAGGGTGGATCTCTGACCTGGCGATGCCCACGGATGGCTGGAGGCGCCGGGAGCCAGAGGGAAGACCTCGGAGCTGTCCAGCAGCGCCGCCAGCAGCTCAGCCACACACAGGTGGATCCTGTGGACCTGAACAGAACCGGGGTCAAACAGCATCTTTACCTGAAACGACCCGCTAAGGTTCTGGTTGGGTTCTCACCAGAAGGCCCGGCTGTGAGCCCAGAACATCCTGCGCTCCGACCCAGTCGTGAGCAGCAGCCAGGTCTCTGGCACATCTCAGAGCCAGCGACTGGGCCAGAGCCTCCTCTCCGGAGATCCGGGCCAGGCTGGCGGCCGTCCTCAGAGACGGAACGTCGTTCTTTCTGGAGACGACTTTGGCTGCATCGAAACCACAGCCAGCAGCGAGGTAACTGGACCGGAACCAGAAGAACCCGTTAGTTCACTAAAGCAGATGCTCTACATAAGTTCTGAAGGTTCTGACCATTTAGCAGCAGCAGACAAATGTCCGTCTCTCTCCAACACAGCGGCCCAAGACGTGTACAGGTTCTTCAGAACCACTTCATCTGCCGGCAGCCGGGCCAGAACCAGAGCGATCGCCTCTCTGACACACAGAACCGCTCCGTTAGCATCCGACAAACATCAGAACCACTCAGTTCTACCTGGGTTCCTACAGGTGAACCCGTCTGGTCCAGCGCTTCAGAACCTGTAGAGCTTGTTGGACTCCAGCAGCGCCACAGCCTGGTACGGTTTGTTGACGGAGAGCAGGTGAGACGCTGCCTTCAGGTACTGCTCCTGCAGACACAGCTGCTTCACAAAGGCCTCCACCGTCCGGCGCCACACCTCAAAGCCAGCTGCAACAGCAGGAAGAAGAAAGTGACACGATGTTCTGACACTTGACTCGGGTCTTTAGCTCACACGGGCAGGACCAGAATAAACACGAATCATCTGACATCCTGGTTCTGGGGCAGAGGCTTAAACAGCCTCAGTTTGGAGAAATAGGCTCTTTAAATGTAAAAACCAAAGTTCTTTCAGATTCGATCGACCAGCACCGAGAAGTTCTGGGTCTGAGGGCTTTCAGTTGTTACCCATGGGGGCGATGGACAGCAGGTGGTCGTTCAGCTCGCCCCTCTCTGTGGCAAGCTGCAGCGCCCCCTCCAGGTCTCCAGTCCAAAGGCGCAGGTACACCACCGAGTCGTAGTGACCTGCCTCGATGTGGGCGTCCTCTGAGGAGCAGGAAGTGGAGTTCAGACGCATGAAAAACGTTCCTGTTAGTAAAAGCAGGAGGAAGAACCGACCTTCTGCCTGGAACATGCGGTACAGCGCCGGTCGGTCGTGGAACAGGCCCAGATGGAGGTGGTCCCCCTGACCCGGGACACAGCCTGCAGGAGGGGCTGGAACACACACACACACACACACACACACACACACCTCCTGCCTTCAGTAAAAGCATCACCATGACCACGAGCAGCGAGCACCACCCGGCTACAGACCTGCACCCCCCGGGTGTCTGACGGAGGCCAGTGTGAGGACGTCCTGCAGCAGCTCCTCTCTGGGCCGGTGGTCCATGGAGGTGCTGAGGGGCAGCATGGAGCGGGCCTTCTTCTTCTTCAGAACCAGGAGATCTGGAGAAACCAAGAGCTGCTGATCAGGACCAGAACCAGTCTACTGGGCCGGAACCCAGCTGGGACCTCAGTTCAGACAAAAACCTGGTTTTTCTTTACTTTTCGCAGCAGGAATTGAGTTTTTTTGCGTCTCAAAATTTGCTGAAAGAGAAAAAAATTCTTTTATTTTTCCACAGAATTTTTTAAAATATCATTTTTAAACTAAAGTTTAAATGAAATTCTTTTTCCACTGAAACCAGAACCGACTTGTTTCTACCTGTGGTCACCTCCTGGTTCTGTGTGGATCGGACCTCCTCCTCGTCCTCAGACAGCTCCTTCTCAGTCGTCATGGTTACTCCTACAACAGAATCTCCGTTCATGTTCGGCGCCGTGGCTCCTCCGGACCCGTTCTTGCTCTTTTTCTTCTGCTGTTTGGAACGGGCCCGCTTCTCCTGCATCATGACCTTCTTCTTTCCTGAGATGACACCACAGACAGTTCTGGCTTGGTCTGTTGGATCTGAACCAGAACCCAAATCCGGGTGTACCTTTGGGGGGTTTGGTGAATTCCTGTTTGGAGACCTTCCACTCGTGCACGGTGAAGTCCCTCCCTCCGGTCCAGATCCCATCTGGGTCAACGGGTGACCAGTCGACACACAGCAGGTAGCCGTTGTGACCGCGGTAGTTGGAGATGGCAGCCTCCTCCAGAACATCCCACACCTGCAGGAACCAGAACCAAACAGAACTTTTACAAGCTTAGAGCAGAAAGCCGTTCCAAGCGGGAACGTCTCCGTGCAGATTTTCCAGCTGCTGACCTGGGCGGTGCCGTCGTAGGAGACCGTGACCAGCCGGCCGCTGTGATGCGGACTCCACGACATCCCCGTGATTTTAGCCGTGTGGCCGGATAACCGACGATAGGACTCGGTCAGAACCGCCGGCTCCTCTGGAGGATTCTCTATGGAAAAACGGATCAGAACGTTAACATCCAGCGTGTCTGATTCTGTTTCTACTGCACACTCCATGTTCGCTTCCCTCTTTATTATTATGTTCATGTTCATGTATTTAGCAGACGCTTTGGTCCAAAGCGGCTTACAAGTGATAATCGGCATGTTGCCCTTGAGCAGTGGTCTGCAAATGGCGGCCCGCGGGCCACGTCCGGCCCGCAAGCCCTCTCTTTGTGGCTCCGCCCACCCCCACCCCCGACCGGTAGGTTTAGGACAGAGCTGAGGAAAATAATCAAATAATCAATGCATGAGATGCGGGCATAAACGGTTTTGCATCACAGAAGAGTGCCATAATCAATTATAGTGGAATGTAGTTGTGTTATTTTAACGGCGGTGGTGCTGAGCGCTGGAGTTATAACCTGAGACCAAACCCGAATCGAATCAGCCCGACCGGTTCTGTTGGATTTGGGCCGTAAATTATGTTAGTTGAGCGGGTTGTCGCGCGGCGCGCTCCGCTTGCTCGATCAGCGACTGAGACAGAGAGAGCAGGAGATTGTCTACTCACACGTGAGAGGATCAGAGGACGCTCCTCCAAACACGCACTATTACTTTCATAATTTCATTATTGTTTCTCCTGGAAGCGCTCACTCAGACCGAGTGCTGTGATGTCGGGAGGTCCGGTCTTGGGGAGGGAGCAGGGTGAGTGACGGCGGCTGCAGCGTAATCATCTGTCTCTCTTATTCAGGGACACGGAGAAGTTAAAAGGAGAGAGAAATAGAAGTTCCACTTTATTATTTTGGTTCATGATGATAAACTGATGTTAAATCAGCTTAAAGAGAAGCTGGGAGGAAGCTTTGGTTCAATTTAAGTTACAGGAGATCTTGTCTCCTGTCTGCTCCTCCAGAGGCAGCATGGACATGAGGGTTACATGGTGAGGGTCGCACAGGACAGGTTAGTGCACTCACACAGCCGAGCTGGAGGGGGACAGGTGTTGTCCTTTATATCGCAAGCTTGTGTGTTATGTGCATTACAGCCAGTGATCCAAACAGCAGCAGCCCCCCATTCCCCTAACCCAAATCCTCTTTAAAGGTCAGGTGTACATCAATCACAACACCCAGATTTCGAACTGCCTTTGAAGGAGCCAGAGATAGGAAGTCATTTTGGATTGAGATATTGTGCTGCATGGATGGTTTTGCTGGAATGACAAGTAGTTCAGTTTCAGAGAGGTTGAGTTGGAGATGGTGGGATTTCATCCATTTTGATATGTCAGAGAGACAGTTTGATATTCGTGCAGAGACAGTGTGGTCGTCCGGTGGAAATGACAGATAGAGCTGGGTGTCGTCTGCATAGCAGTGGTAGGAGAAGCCATGTGATCAAATGATCTCACCCAGTGAGGTGGTGTATATGGCAAAGAGAAGAGGTCCTAGTACAGAGCCCTGGGGGACTCCTGTGGCAAGATGGTGCACGGTAGAGGATTGTCCATGCCAAGATACACTGAATGATCGTCCTGTGAGGTACGATTCAAACCAGGTGTGTGTTTTCTCTGTGATGCCCATGCTAGAGAGTGTGGACAAAAGGAAGCCATGGTTGACAGTGTCAAATGCTGCCGATAAGTCGAGCAGGATAAGCACTGAGGATTTGCCTGTCGCTCTAGCTTCTTTTAAGGATTCTGTCACTGCTAACCGAGCCGTTTCAGTGGAGTGGCCCTTTTTGAACCCAGATTGGTAAGGGTCAAGCAGACAGTTTTGTGACAAGTATTCTGTGATCTGCTTGAAAGCCACCCTTTCAATGATTTTGGACAGAAAAGGGAGGAGAGAGATAGGTCAGTAGTTCTCCACATGATTAGGAGGAAGAGATGTTTTTTAGCAGCGGTTTAGCCTGAGCATGCTTGAGAGAGATGGGAAATGTACCCAATGTCAGTGAAGCGTTGATCACATGTGTGACTGCTGCGGCTACTGCAGGAGCAATCGCTTGGAGCAGCTTAGTCGGAATGGGGTTGAGTGGGCATGTAGTAGGGCGGCTGCACGTGAGAAGTGTGGACACACAGTTCTCAGTGAGAGGGGAAAAAGAGGAAAATGAAGCAGTAGGGCCTGAGATGGTTGGGCTAGAAGCTAAATTATTATTATTATCATTATTATCATCATCATTATTATTATTATTATCATTATATCATTATTATTATCATCATCATCATCATTAGTATCATTCTCATTATTATCATCATTATCATTATTATTATTATTATTATTATGATCATCATCATCATCATTATTATTATTATTATTATTATTATCATCATCATTATTATTATTATATCATTATTATTATCATTATTATCATTCTCACTATTATTATCATCATCATTATCATTATTATTATGATCATTATTATCATCATCATCATCATCATTATTATCATTATTATCATTCTCATTATTATTATCATCATCATTATCATTATTATTATGATCATTATTATTATCATCATCATTATCATTATTATTATTATCATTCTCATTATCATTAATATCGTTATTATTATCATCATTTCGATCATCATCATCATCATTATTATTATCATTATTATCATCATCATCATTATTATATCATTATTATTATCATTCTCATTATTATTATCATCATCATCATCATCATTATTATTATTATCATTATATCATTATTGTTATCATCATTTCGATCATCATCATCATCATCATCATTATTATTACCATTATATCATTATTGTTATCATCATCATCATTATTATTATCATCATCATTATTATTATTATCATTATATCATTATTGTTATCATCATTTCGATCATCATCATCATCATCATCATTATTATTACCATTATATCATTATTGTTATCATCATCATCATTATTATTATCATCATCATTATTATTACCATTATATCATTATTATTATCATCATCATCATTATTATTATATCATTATTATCATTCTCATTATTATTATCATCATCATTATCATTATTATTATGATCATTATTATTATCATTCTCATTATCATTATATCATTATTATAATCATCATTTTGATCATCATCATCATCATCATTATTATTATTATCATTATATCATTATTGTTATCATCATTTCGATCATCATCATCATCATCATCATCATCATTATTATTACCATTATATCATTATTGTTATCATCATCATCATTATTATTATCATCATCATTATTATTACCATTATATCATTATTATTATCATCATCATAATTATTATTATCATTATTATCATTCTCATTATTATTATCATTATTATTATGATCATTATTATTATCATTCTCATTATCATTATATCATTATTATTATCATCATTTCGATCATCATCATCATCATTATTATTATTATTATTATTCATGCTCCCTCGCTGCCACCTAGAATTGACTGAAAAGGGTTTGTTGTTAGCCTCAAGGACAACCTGCTGGACTGACTGTCACCTGTAAGTCACTTTAGACAGAAGCGTCTGCTACATACATAAACATAAAATGAACCAGTCGCTTCAGTTTTAGGTGAAACTGAGTTTATGAAGCTTTTCAGCAAAAAGTTTGACTTTTTGAGGATCTTAGAACAGGGTATCTGCAGGTTTAAGGGAGCCAAATTTAAGACTTTTAAGACATTTTTTAAGGCCACTTTGACCAAATTTAAGCTATTTTTTTAAATTAAATTTAAGCTAAATTTTCCAGCTATTGCCTGGAACCGGTGCTAACCACAAACAGCCCCCTTTCACAACCAGCTGAATGTGTACGGTTCCGCTTATGCAAATATCATACACAAAATGCTGAAGACTAACTAGAAATTCACGAAAATTTTATAGAAATAAAAGAATCTTGTTTATTGGGTCTTTGGTAATTTAAGACCTTTGGAAACTGGATTTAAGGATTATTTGTCATTTTTAAGGATCTTTAGGGCCTTAAATTTGGAAAAGCAAATTTAAGACTAAGACGTTTTAAGGGCCGTGGATACCCTGTAGAATGTAATATCTTCAAATGAAAGCAGATTTTTTCAAATGTAGTAACGGATGACAGGAGGACTTGCTGCACCTAGGACGGAGCGGAGGTCGTGCACGAAGACGATGGCGTTGCTGGAGCCGGAGGCCAGCAGGGCGTGCAGCTCAGGGGCGGAGCTGTGGTCGGGGTGCCATCGTAGCGTGTTGATGATCTTGTGATGCTGCTGGATGCTGCACAGCAGCTTCAGGTGGGGGGGCTGGTACACATCGATGCTCCTGTGAGGGGAGGGCGAAGAGAAGCATGGTTATGAACACATGAGGATTTTAAATTAGCATCCTAAAACAAACCTCAGTTAAGCTCTGAATCAAAGTTGCATTTTAACCAGAAGCCGCTACTCTGGAATAAATCGGTTTTCCCGACACGTTCTTGGATTTTCTTCTATCCAACTCCAGAACCTCTCAGAGGTTTAAACTCAGACGATTTCATGCTGAGTAAGGATAAATATAAATGAGATCAAAGACACATAAAAACATTTTGACGCGTCTTTCGGTCTGATTTGGGCATTTAGACAACTCGGAAACCCGGAGGCCTTGCTGTGTAGCGATTTGGGTCGAGCCCCCGGAGGTCACTCACCCATCCTCGTTGCCAATAGCAACAGCCTTCCCATCTGGTTTCCAGCTGAGGTCTGTGTGTGGAGACAGTTTGTGCTGTTGGAGGTAAAAACATTTGGTCAGCACAGATCCAGCCTCGGCCAACACGACACCAGCAGGTTTTAGGTCTTCAGCCATCACCGGGTAACCCCAGGGCGGGCCGTGTGGCATTCGGACCCCACCCACCTGGATGCTGTTGGTGTCCCTGATCAGCTTATCGATGTCTGCCGCCGCTCTGCTCAGCTTGGATGGGTCGTGCTGCAGGATGACGCCTTCACCGGAGCAGCTGTACAAGCTGTAGCTCGCTTTTCCTTCTGCACCTGAACGCCACAAAAACAAATGTTTCTGAGGATGACTCAGCACAATAAAACGATGAGTCACTTTAGAAGCAGGTTTGCTGTAATCTGGGAGGGGCTAAGTCCTGTTTCAGGTTTAGCCGTTAGTTTCTTTTTATCCTGTCCCTCCGTAATCCCAACATCAGCAGCTTTAATCCCCACAGAACGGAGACAACGAGGCAACGCTGCAGATGAAGGAGGCATCAGCAGATCAGTGGTGCTGCAGCCATCAGGGCCCAGTGGCCCAGCTGATCCATGTGCTCATCACAGCTGATGGGAGGGGCGGGGCTCTTTCTATTACAAAGTTGACTACAAAAGGCCACATGGAGACGTTGGGATTTTCTGCTGACTCGTGGTTTCTCCAGGCGTCCCATGGTGCAGACTGTGCTGGGTCAGAAGATTCAGAGCAAACAGCAGCAGCTGCCAGGAGTTCAACAGGAACTCACCCAACGACATGGGGAGGACGGCGGGCCCCCAAGCCAGCGTGTACACGGTTTTCCTGTGGTAGGAGCTCGATATCTGAGGAGGCCTGGGGGAGAGCAAGCAGAGCAAAGGAGCCGTCAGAGCTGCAGAAAAACCTACGAGCTGAGTTTCAGGATTAAGAGGTAACGATGAAATAAAGTTCATGAAAGTTTAATTTAAGGAGTTTTATTTAAAACAATGAATAAACTGAATCAGAACATCCTGGAGCCGATTAGGAATGTCATCTGGAAAACCGATGACACCAGAGGTAGTTCCACCGAGGATCTCACTTGTTAGAGAAAACGTCGTAGATCCCAACTTTTCCATCATCAGTCCCAAAGGACAGCCAGCCTTCTTTCCTCGGATGCCACGCCAGCTGCAAGAGACGGGAAACGGATTTATAACCAACCTGAGGAATTTACAGGAATGTTTCCAGGAACGGAACCCGCCGCACCGCCGTGACTTTGGACTTGATCCCCTGCCAGAAGGACCTGATGTCATACTGGTTCTGAGAGCTCAGCGTGTTCCACACCCGGATCATGTTGTCGCCCACGCCGAGCGCCAGGCAGGCCACGCCCACAGGAGAGAAGGTCAGGGTGTAGACGTGACCCCCCAGGGTGGGGAGGGTCCAGCAGCAGCCTAAAGACTCCAGGTCCCAGCATTTAATCTGGACCGGATCAAGAAACAGTTGGTTCTGATTTGATTCTCTCTCTCCCACTCACTCACACTCACACACACACACACACACACACACACACACGCACGCACGCACGCACGCACACGCATGCACGCACACACACACACACACACACACAGTGACCCACGTCTCTGTCCATGGAGGTGCTGATGAGCAGCTCTTTGCCGTCCTGCAGTTGGACAGAACTCATGTTGAAGACGATCCGGTTGTGGTTCTGACCCTCAGACGACGATCCGAACAAACTCCACCTCTGTTTTCCTGTACTGGCTAAATCCCACATCACCAACTCCCCACTGGACTCACAAACACACACAGAAACCAGCTGGAATTAGACACGAAAGGAAATTCTGGGATGGTTCTGGTTTTGATAACATGAGAAGTTGCCCTCCGGGTCATCCGGACCGCCTGACCTGAAGCAGCTGGATATGAGTTGTGTGGGTCTGCCCTTCGGCCAGAGGACGTTGAGCCAGATCCTCTCTTTGACTCCCGGGTCGACAGCAGAACCTCTCCTCTTCAGGAACGGCAGCTTCAGCGTCATCACGCCTGAGACGGCAGAAGAGTCAGCCTCTGTGATTTTAACCTGCTGCCACTAAAATCAAATCCAGCACCTTTTCCCTTCGCTGTGCTCCAGATCCGGACCGTCTGATCTTTGCTCCCAGAAGCCAGGAAGCATCCCGTCTCGCCTTCTGTTGGAACTCCATCAGCTCCTGCAGCAGACCCACACATGAAACCCGAGATCCACGTAAAACGTGCACTTTAGTTTTGACAGAAGGGACATCAGCGTTACCGTCTCCATCCTCAGCTCTGCTGCCGAAGGCATCCTCTCCAGTCACAGGACACCAGGCCACAGAGTGGATCTCGTTGTCGTGTCCACGGAGGCGTTGCATCACTTCGCCTTTCTTACTCACATCGATCAACACGATCATTCCATCTTTATACCTACAAAAGTGTTTCATCGTTACCGTTCACCTCTGAAACACTGGGGAGCAGAACGTGTGTGTGTCTAACACATGGAGTCCCTTTGACCCATGTGCTGCTCTGTTCTGGTCCTACCCGACAGCCACAGACTTCCAGCTGTGAGGAGAACAGCTCAGGCAGAAGATGGTTCTGGGTTCTGGGAAGAAGCTGGCCGTATCTCCGGTGTGGAACCAGTGGCAGACCACCACACCCTTCTCGTCGCCCGAGACCACCAGATTTTTATCCGCAGGGGACCAGTGCACCGCTGAGACGGGATTCTGAGGGGACAAAATAACTGATCACTTCCTGTTTGTTGTTTTTAATGGTCAATCATTATCAGCTGACAGGGTTTCCCCACCAGGCTAAGCCCCGCCCCCTCCCTGGCCCTACCGTCTCCACTGTCACGGACGATGAACGGCGAGACAAACTACGCACCCCTCCTCCGCTGATGCTGAACGGTGGTGTGACCCCCACACACACACTCTCACGGATGAGGAATGGTAGTGCAACCCCAGCCCCCACCCCCGCCACGCTTATGAACTTTTCTGGGGGAAACCCTGAGCTGATAAATCCACAAACATGTTTAGTTTATCTGCTGTGATGCCCGTGTCCATGGCTTCATGAGCTGATCCAGCAGCCAGCAGGAGGAACCGATACACTTTATAAATCACTCATCTGTGTGGGGGGGCAGCAGAGTCTCACCTGATGAGCAGCCTGCTCCCTCATTAGAGTCTTATTGCTGGAGTCCCAGAAGTGAACGGTGCCATTAGTAGACGCGCTGACGCAGAAGTGACTCTGCTCCGGGTGCTGACAGAACGAAAAGCCCGACACCAAGTCCCTGTGGCCCGTAAGCTCACCTGCAACACACACAAAAAAAGAAAAATAAAGGAAAAATAAATTGTAACCAGAAGATTTCTGGAGGAATGGTAAGATGAGCCAGAACCGCTTCAGCCTAAAGCCCATCGCCCTTCTGGTGCATAAGAAGTGTAAAAAGAACCAAAAACTACAGACAGGTTAAAGCAGCTGCTAGTGGCTCATTAGGGTAACCTTGGTAACCCCCTGTGGCTCGTTGGGGAGACCATGGCAACTACTGATGACTCAATGGGATCACCATAACAACCACCAGTGCCTCACTAGGATCACTATAGTAGCCCCTCCACCGGAGTCTCATTAGGGTAACCTTGGTAACCTCCTGTGGCTCGTTAAGCCGGGCGTACGCTGTGCGACTTTTTCACTTTTTTGAGCAGATTTTCCACTCGTGCGAGAATCTGCGAGAATCCACGACATCGGGGCGAGTTTTGCGCCGAGTGGTCGTGTAGTGTACAGGGGGTTACGAGAGGCGATTAACACCACGTGACCAGCTGCCGATCAGCAGTCGTGAGGTCGCACAGACTTCTGGCGTATTTAATATTTTGCTCGTCCCTTGTGAGGGTATCGCACTGTTGAAGCAGTGCTGCGAGCAGCTGCGACCCAAAAAGTATCAGAACCGCTCACGGCGCATGCGCAATCCTGCATCAACGCCGCTCGCTATTTCCCTAATAACACACACTGTTCATTTTTGTTTCTACACATTTTTTTTACTCACAAAGATTGTAAAGAAAGCGTGTTTGTCGTGTTCATGTCAAATTAAACTGATCACAAAACACAGATTTACTTTCTTTATTTCGTTTTACTCATCCAACCCCCATAAATCCCTGTGTGTCCTGCAGCACTCCCGAAGGACAACAGGCAAGACAAGACAAAAAAGTCTGACGCGTTGTGTAAAAACTGCTATTTTTAGCATATTTTTAGGTCCGACGTGTTGCTACCAGACGTTCAGTGTGAGCAGTCAGGTCACATCCGAGAACTGGGTCGTGCAGTGTGAGCACATGACTCGTGAGATCTGCCCTGTTTGAGCTGAAGCTGAGTGCTACGAGTGAAAAAGTCGCACAGTGTACGCCCGGCTTTAGTGAGACCATGGCAACTACTGATGACTCAATGGGATCACCATAACAACCACCAGTGCCTCACTAGGATCACTATAGTAGCCCCCCCCCCCCCCCCCCCCACCGGAGTCTCATTTGGTTACCATGGTTACTCCCTGCCATGGAAACAAACAACATCTCATTAGAATCACCATGGTAACTGTCCGCCAGTTGCTCATCGGGGTCACCATGGTAACCCCTCACAGGTGGATAATTAGGGTCACCATAGCAGCGCCCCACCAGTGGCTCATTTGGGGCACCATGGTAACTACCAGTGTCTTGCTAAGGTCACCACAGTAACCCCCCACTGGAGTCTCATTAGGGTTACCATGGTTACTCCCCACTGGTGGCTTATCAGTGTGACCATGGTCAGGGCGCAGATAGGATTTTCAAACTGGGGGTGGGGGGTGGGGGGGGGGTTGGGACAAAGTTCCAATGTACCCTCCCCCAAACACATACACACATACACAAACTATTGCAAGAGCCTTAGCTAGAGCTCAAACAGTTTGTGTAATTTCATCCAATGGTTTACGAAAAAACTAACACTATTATATACGTGTTTGAAGCCATTATGCAACTGGCAACAAAGCTCGGCCTGATCAGCACTATCCACATCAGCCCTTTGTTATTCTCCCAATTAATTACTAACCACAACCTCATGCTTTATGCAAAACATTAAATGATTTTCAGATTACCAATCTTTACAGAAAACAAATTCACCCCCCTATCTGCGCGCCTGACCATGGTAACAAACAACATCTCATTAGAATCACCATGGTAACTGCCAACCAGTTGCTAATTAGGGTCACCATGGTAACCCTTCACCGGTGGATGATAGGGTCTCCGTGGGCGGGGCTTTTCTCCCACCGGTGGAGGACACTTTTCTCTCTGACCCCATGTTGCCCTACCTCACATCAGCTACCAAACTTCACAACCAACACACATATCCCGATTGAACCACGTGTTTCTGATGTGTAATCTGCATGTTTGGTGTTTAATCTAGAGAATGTGGGTACATGGGAACTTCCTAGCAGTAGATTAACAACTTTCCAGACTCTAGTCATCATGTTTTCTTCGCATCTGTTCTGTTAGCGGACACAGAGAAACCCCCGTATGAAAGGTAACGAGAATAGTAAACTCACCTGTAATCTTGCAAGAGGACGCAGAAACGTCAACCAGGTAAATGACGGTGTTGGCTCCGAAGCCCAGTAAACCATTGCTATTGACATCACTGCAGCGCGAGCAGTACCAGTTAGGGGAGGCGGGAAGCGACCTTTCGTTCATGTTGCTCTTTAAATGTCAGAAATTCAACACATTGAAGTCTGGATCGAACCAAAACAAACGGCTCACATGTACTTCTCACTCGCGTTGCAGTAACATCAATGCCGTACGTTCAACGTGGTGTCGTAAATTCTGTCGGTCCTCAATACGGGATCTTAACTGGGTCAAACTGTGCGGATTGTGCTTTTATTAAATTCATGTACTGACCGTTTATATTATATTATAGTGAATAGAGCTTATCTATACATACGTTTGGGGTGTTTATGTTGTGTTAGTAGAAGGATGTACAGCAGTAAAAGTATATAACAACAAAATAAACGTTTTTGCCCCAAAGGAGTGTCAGAAAGTGTCGTAAAAATTCAAGATGGCGACTGCGATGATAGGACGTGGTGAATGAAGTTTTTATAAATAAGCTCAAATTTAACATATTTTTGTGTTCGTGTCTGTTTTTAATATTTTCATAACTGTTTGCAGGTGTTGCTTTCATCAGGAGAACATCCGGTTTGTTCCAGTCGAGGTGAGACGGTTTAAACTTGAAATTGTGAAGCTAACAGAAGGACGAAATGCACGAGACAGTTGTCGTTAACAGGCGACTTTGGTTACTAATAGAACCCTGGCAGAATACAGGTATACTTCAGGTGTTAAAGCAGTGGTTTATCGCAGGATTCCGTTTATTTAATGTCCACCCTGTTCTAGAGCAGAGGGGCCCAATCCCGGTCCTGGAAGTTGGAGGAGACGTCTTGTAACTTGCAGCAGAGATAAGGAACCTTGCTATGGCTGTTCCCCAGGTGGCGTGGCTGGCTTATGGAGAGATGGTTACAAACAGACCATTTGTTTTGGGTTGGAGAGCACACAGTTTCTCTGGCGAATGAAGATGGCTGGATAGTTTAATGCCTGATGCCCTTTGGCATGGCCACGACTCAACACCACAATAACGTTTTGTCTGTTGCATTCTCTCTCCAGGTTGCAGGTTCTGGCTGGAATGTCACAGCAGCTCTCATGTGTCCACACCAGCATTCCACTGGACTCAAAACACTGGGAGAGGGCGAACCGGAAAGTGTTCCCGCCTCAGCTGCCGGATGAGCCTCGGCGACCTGCAGTGAGTCTGACGTTTACAACACAAGTCCAATGGAACAATTCTTCAGAGGGTTTAACTACAAACACATCGTCAGAGCTCGGTTCCTTTAGTCTGGCTCAACAGGACCACCGGGCTAGAGATGCAAAAAATCTGACCCTGAATAAATCAGTTTAATTGTGTTTAATGAAACATTGAACCAACAGCTGTGAGCTGATTGGTTCCAGGATCTGATAAAAATCAGATCTAAATGTTGTTTCACTCACATTTTTCTACCTGGAGTTCCTTAAAAACAGATTCAGAGAACTAGTTTCACCTTTTATGCATAACTCCTAACCTCGTCTCTGTTACCATGGTGATCCAACTCAAACTGATCCACCTTTGTGATCAAGCAGGAGCAAATGTGATGTAGTAAAACCATCTGGTGTCAGGAAGCTGATGACTCACCTGATGCTTCATGTTTGAACGTTTTCCTGCAGGAGGTCTACCACAGCAGGAGGCAGATCAAATACAGCAAAGACAAGATGTGGTATCTGGCCAAAATGGTGAGAAGTGTGAAAATAACCTGCTTCTAAAGTCTTTTGCTTCTGTTTGTGTCTGTGAAACAGCGGCTGGGAGATCTTGTAGAAAGACTCCCTCAGCTGTTATCTGCTGAACCTTTCAGATTATTTTCCTCATTTATTCCAGAAACTTTCCTCCTTTACTCAGAATTCTGAACGATTGTTTTCTGAATAATATAGGAAGATTTGGTCAGTGAAGGCACGTGGTTCTGTCTGTAAAGTAAATATTCTAATTCAAGATGGATTTAGAAAATGTTTCTTCCTTTTAGATCCGAGGGATGAGCATCGATGAAGCTGTGGCTCAGCTGGAGTTCAACGACAAGAAAGGAGCACAAATCATGAGAGAGGTTTGTAGCTGTGAGCAGAAATGAGTCTGATTTCTCTCCTGTGTCTCGGGTTTCACATGAATCTGTGTTGGTTTGGCGGTTCCAGGTCCTCCTCGAGGCTCAGGAGATGGCAGTAAAGAATCACAACGTGGAATACAAGTCTAACCTGTATGTAGGTGAGTTTCTGCAGCGTTCGAAGCAGAACTTGGATGGATGTTTGAAATCTTTAATACTTACCTTTGAAGTGACTTTTAGGGGCTACATGACTTAATTTGTTTTTAATGTCGACAGTCAAGTAATGAAAATTGAGTCGACTTTGACTAGTCGTCGATGACGTCATACACCTGAAGCAGCTGAAACTGACGATGGGTGACCAAGCGTTTTGTTTTTTTTCCCCGACGCACGGGGGGGTGGGGGTGGGGGGGGTTGTTCGCTGGAGTTTTTGACAATTACAATTGCGCCCACATTTTCAAAGTTAAACACATCTCTTAACAACGGTAGTTTCTGCATCCTACTTCAGCCCTCTCTGCCTCTGCCTGCAGCCTCTCGGAGTTCCTGCTGCTCTAAACATTAAAATAATTATTTCATTTTCTGTTCCTCACTTCTGATTACCTTCAATGGTGTCTGTTTGTTGCAACCACCAAAAACTAACTTGTTTTTATTTGAGTATTTTTCTGTCCTGCCTGTCTATTATCTTCCTGCATCTCCTCTCAATCCTAAAGAAAAACTGCTACCTGGCTTCATATATATTCACCTTATGAGTTACCTTTGAACTGCAGTTAAAAAAGTTCTACCGACCATAAATATAGCGGCGGAGTGCGCGCCGGCCGCACCGGTGAAATGCTTCACCGGAGGACAAAACCGGTGATGCTCTCCGCTCCACCGCAGCAAAACGCATCAGGCACAAATAAAAGACAGGAAACATAAAAGGAAATGAGCCGACATGAACGATCGCGTGTTAAATTAGTTTTTGAGGTGGCGACACCTGATTTGATGATGTTACTGTGGCCGTGCTCAGGACGCAGATGTCTGGAGCGCGTCAACAATCAGAGCTTTGCATGCGTGTTACGTCCCCGGCAGGTGTTGTATAAATGTGAAGGATGGGGGTAATATAAGAACTGGCAGAGGAGTTTAAAACGGGTTTATTTGTAACAAAAAGGTATTAAAAACACGAGCAAACAGATCTCTCTTAAAGGTTAACATTACACAGCAAATTATCAACTATAAAACACCTGGTTAAAACTTGTATTAAAAGCTTAACTGAACAGAAGGTGTTTAAAAATCCCAAAGTTGATAACTGTTCCTAAAACAATACACTGACTAAAACACCTAGTAAAACTTATTTTAAAAGCTTAACCACACAAATGTGTTTAAAAACCAAGGTCAGTAAAATTGCACAAAGTTAACCTTAAAACCAAACAGCCAAAAAGATCCCACTGGATCATCCAAAACTTCTTTCTTAGTAGGGATGTGTATTTTTGAAATTCTGGCGATACGATACATATCTCGATACAGGGGAGATGATACGATATATCACGATACATTGCGATACATTCAGTCAGACGTTACAAGCAATTTTTTTTACTGTATTTATTGTAAGAATGTTCAATAAACAGTCCAAACTGATACGTAACATGTTTAACATGAGGTATCTGAACCATGATGGAGGGATTTACATTTCAGTGGTGGAAACAAAACTCGTTGCACACTGCTGCCAACTAGCAGGTGGCGTTTGAATTGCGCAAAACGAAAAGAAAATACACAAATGTTTGCATGTAAATTCTTTCAGGAATTAGATACACAGCTTTTGAATATCGATGTAATAATCTCAGGAAAAATATCACGATATATTGCCATATCGATATTTCCGATACACGGCTTTTGAATATCGATATAATATTGCTGGGAAAAATATCACGATATATTGCCATCGTGATATTTTCTTACATCCCTATCTCTTAGAGTTAAAAACTACCACAGTTAAAAACTCAATCAAATCCAAACAAATCTAAACGAAAGGGGTTGAACACGAACAAAAACCAGGAGGACAGCAGAACCCCTGCACGGGTGATCCTGGCTCCTGCTCTTCCCTGGCCAGACTGGCAACCGTAACAATGCGCAAGCTGGTTAAGGTTAGGATGGGGGTGAGGGGAAGGTTAAATTGCAAGATGTTGAGCTTGAAAGACTTTGAAACAACATGAAATCTGAAGATCAAAGTGTTTTTGTTTTCTGTAACAACTTTTGGACTCTTCTGAGAAGAAAACCATCTCAGGCTCTTCTGACCAACTGTTTTTGTTTTCCGCTGCAGCCGAGTCGTTCTCCAGTAAAGGGATGTACCTGAAGCGGATCCGTTACCATGGCAGAGGAATGTTCGGCATCATGGACAGAGTTTACTGTCACTACTTTGTCAAGCTAGTGGAGGGTTCTCCGCCCAAAACCGAGCAGAGAACGGGCTTCGACCAAGCCAAAGAGTACGTCCAAAACCTGAAGAAACGGACCATCATCCACAGCCTGTAGACCAGGTCTCACATGTTTGGGTTGTTTGATATTTGTAAATAAACAGAAATATGCCAAACATGAGAGTGTAGGTTTTTTATTTCATATGTTTCCAGTCAGCTTTTAGATCCAGACCTGTAGCATCACTCCAGAAGAGCCTGTCTGACATCAATCAGGCTAAAAGACCTCATAAAGCAACACATCCTGCCTCCTTCCAAAGAACCCAGAAGAACAGCTAAAGTCCTGGTTAGGGTCAGAGGTCAGGGTTCACAGTAAGGCCCTAGAGACTTCTGGGGAAAATGAGCATCCTGTTCCCTCTGGAGTCAGATGTGGTGGTGGTGTGATGGTCTGGGGCTACTCTGCTGCTTCAGCTGATAGAACCATGAATTCTGCTCTAGAACATCTGACCTTTGACCTTAAACGGGCCATTCTCACTGGAACCCCCTCTGTGTGTCTGCATACAGATGGTTCTGTAGAGAAGAGCGTGACAACTCCACAGGGATGAGAGACACTGGATCAGCTGGTGCCTCCGATACCTGCTACAGCTGGGTTCAGAGGTCAGAGTGGTTTAGACCCTCATCCTGTAACTCAGGGTGTCTTTGTCTCAGTCTGTCAGAGAAACACTTGATCTGAGACTCACAAGGTCGTGAAACAGCTGAGAGGCGTAAACAAACATCCTACAGCAGGTCTGGAGTCTGCCGAGCAAGAACAGAGCCTTAAGTGAGTCCGCCACGTGACAGGTCTGCTAGTCGTGGCATGACAGCAGTCAGCGCAACTTCTCCTCGGAGTCTAGACCTGTCAGCATCGCTGTTCCTCATCCCGTCACTCGGACTTGGCTCTGTGGCGAACGGCTGCAGGTTGTCTCCGTGTCAGACTCAGAAGGTCTGTGAGTTCAGATCATGTCAGGGGAAAACCTGCTCCTCATCCTCAGCACTGACGTCTTTATGTGATGAAGCTCCTCCAGGATGCAAGTCCGTGTTTTCCTGGCATTCCTGCTCAAAGATGTTCTTGCTTCTAATGAAGCTGAAGCCAGAGAACACAGCACTTGGACAACAAACCCCGGATGAGGCCTCTTTGGATCTAAAGGTCACCGTGTCTCATTGTTCTGAGAGCCCAGAGCGTAATTGGCCTTCAGTTTTCTGCTGCTGATGTGACTGATCCGATTTGTGTGTCTGCCCGTTGCCACATCCCTCCAAAGCTCTTGTCAGCTCTGAGCAGCTTTGAGTGCACTTTCAAATGAAATGCCATCTGCTGGCCTCAATTTCAGCAGACAAGTGCCCCCAATCTCAGGTTGGAGGCGGCCTTGGTCCCACAGCGCAAAGCAGCAGCGACTTCTGAAAAGAACAGGCAGCTTCATCTTCCTCCTCCCTTCATCTGGCTCGACTTTATGACCCAGCTGCCTCGTTTTTCTCCCTGAGAACAAACATACAGAAACACCCGCCAATGTCGGCTTTTCTGCAGTTTAATTCAGCTAAATATGCTGATATTCAGATCTGCAGGAGTGTCTGAGTTTCAGCAAGACCCTGTTGACTTTAGCACATCAGAGGGGTGTTTCTGTGTGGAAACCAACAAATCAAACCTCTTTGTTTCAGAGAAACGATAAAATAAACACAAATCAGAGTTTTAAAACCTCCATAAATAATAAAACATGAACAGGAGTAAGCTCAGGGCCGGATTATCATTGCAGGGGCCCCTGGGCACAATGTGCTTAGGGCCCCCCAATCCTCTTGTCTCCTGTTTCCTTCCTCATCTTGTCTCCTTCCTCCTCTTGTCTTCTGTCTCCTTCCTCCTCTTGTCTTCTTTCTCCTTCCTCCTTTTGTCTCCTGTTTCCTACCTCCTCTTGTCTTCTGTCTCCTTCCTCCTCTTGTCTTCTATCTCCTTCCTCCTTTTGTCTCCTGTTTCCTTCCTCCTCTTGTCTCCTTTCTGCTTCCTCCTCTTGTCTCCTGTCTCCTTCCTCCTCTTGTCTTCTGTCTCCTTCCTCCTCTTGTCTTCTGTCTCCTTCCTCCTCTTGTCTCCTGTCTCCTTCCTCTTGTCTTCTGTCTCCTTCCTCCTCTTGTCTTCTGTCTCCTTCCTCCTCTTGTCTCCTGTCTCCTTCCTGCTCTTGTCTCCTGTTTCCTTCCTCCTCTTGTCTTCTGTCTCCTTCCTCCTCTTGTCTTCTGTCTCCTTCCTCCTCTTGTCTCCTGTCTCCTTCCTCCTCTTGTCTTCTGTCTCCTTCCTCCTCTTGTCTACTGTCTCCTTCCTCCTCTTGTCTCCTGTTTCCTTCCTCCTCTTGTCTTCTGTCTCCTTCCTCCTCTTGCCTCCTGTCCCCTTCCTCCTCTTGTTTCCTGTTTCCTTCCTCGTGTAACAGAGATAAAAATGTGAATTTCACCAAAAGTGATGTGTAGTGATTATTTGTGTTTTTCGAGCCGCTTACTGGTGGTTAGGCGCAACTGCATGCAATGGGTCCTTCAGACGCACTCACGGCCCCTCCCACCAAAGCAGTAATGAAAGCTTTGAACATCTTAGGTGTGTTCTTGCTGTGTCTTTCTAAATCCATGCTTTCGTTCTTTTTAAACACAGAAACAGTTTTGTTTACCTGTTTTGTAGCTACAGTTTCGCCGACGGCTGCCGGCTTCTTCAGGCTGACGCTGATCTAAAACAGGTAAACAAAACTGTTTCTGTGTTTAAAAAGAACAAAAGCATGGAGTAATGAAAGCTGGTGGAGGTAGGTGTACTGTGAAGCCACTCTGCACTTAACTTCTGTTTAAGTCATTTTAACCTTTAGTTAATATATCAATATGGCCTGTTACAGATGTATAAGTGTTGTTAGAGCGTATTTTGAAAAAGGCTAGCTGTGTTTGCAATACATTAACAACTATAGATGTGATTCACTCTGGTTAGCATGCTAAGCTAATGGAAGCTAGCTTTTCAGTCCTTTTAGTAATGTTTGGTTTTTCTTTTTTCCCTGAACAGACCGTTGTATGCAGTTGCAGTGCACACACACTGATAAACTATTGTGTGCTTATATATATGTTTTATCAAAAGAAAATATGTATTGCTCTGAAATGCAAGTTGGTAAATTAATATATTGCTGTTGTTATTAAATGTCACTATACGATCACATGTAAGAAAAAAAGAAAAGCAGTAATGAAAGCTGGTGGAGACCGTTGTATGCAGTTGCAGCGCACACACACTGATGAACTATTGTGTGCTTGTTTTGATATCAGATCCTACCAGTAAAACGCTTTGAAGGGCAGTCCTGTGTCTGTGGCCTGATTGTATATGTGCAGTGATTTGAGGCAACAAAAATAAAAACTCCTGTTACCCTGGACGGACAAGAAGAGACGGTTACTCTCGTCTTGACTCCTGTCTCCTTCCTCCTCTTGACTCCTGGCTCCTTCCTCTTCTTTTTGTTTCCTCTTGTTGGTCTCCTCTCTTGCCTTCAGAAAAACTGCTTTCTGGCCTTTCCATTAGTAAATTCATTTGCAATGTCATCAAAGTCCAGATTCCTGACAAGCTGAGATTCAATTGCCATCAGTGACACTGCACTGACACTGTTGAGTTTGTGTTGTTCTCAGTTCATTTTTTATTCTTGACATTTGTGAAAATCGTTCCCCTTCACAATTTGTAACTGGTAGCAGGCGCGTTGCAAGATTTTCAAAAGTGTGGGGGATGTTGTCTGTGCCTAAAATAATTTCATGTTATTCATCTTGTTAGTTTAATTTCCATAATAGCAGAGCAGGTGCAGATTTTAGACGCATGTCTCTGTTTTAAACATGTTTAAACTGTTCACAATACAAATCCAGGCTCTGTTTCGTTAGATTGGTGCAACTAAAGTTTGTACTGAATGAAACTTTACATTAAACCATGTTGAAAAGAAAAGGATCCGATTAAATCGTTTCCCCCTCATTTTACAGTCAGTACAGCGCATTGCGCATGGCTCTGGGGTTAATCAAGTTTAGTTGTTTCTCTTTGCAACAATCTTCACAAGAAGACAAAACAGTTAAATGGCAGGTTACAGATATTTCCATTTGACTGTTTATTTTGACGGATAAACTCAAGGATGTTGGTTGTTTTGAAAGAATTACCCCGACGCACACTGATGCACACACAGCTGAGCTGACATTTTAATCGTTATGCACATCGCGGAGGTAACTAAATCAATCCAGAAAAGATTTCCATCAGAACGTCAGAGCTTTATACTGGACACTGTGCTCAGCGCGGCTCGGAGCGCCCACGGTGGACAGTGAGCTGAAGATCTGTAGAGGGGTTCACAGCGCAGTGCAGAACCACGGCAATGCGGTAAGATTTCCTCCCACTGAAGCGGTCTGGAAACCCGGTCTCTCTGAGGGATGTGTCACTTGGAAATATGTTCTCCAATTATGAAACTTTGGCTGAATAGTGCTTGTTCCCGTCTCTAATATGAAGACGCATGACGCATCCAGCCAGTCTGAGGCAGAATAGCCTCTTCAGCTCAGAAAGCACCTGTAGAGACATTTGATCACGCACAAAGTTTATGTGGAGCAGAAGCGGCCGGGCCACAGCAGGTGAAATGTTCCTAGCCTACAGTTATCCTCTATTCTGTCTCAGTTTGCTCTGCTCTTGTCTGGGCTGACGCAGCTGATGGTGCGATACCCTTATGAACGGTGAGAGGTACATATAAGAAGTGCAGGTAGAGTTAGAAAAATCTGCAGGGCCACAAACACATTAGGGAAGATGGACTGTATGTTTAGCCCGTAAACGATCATGGTTCTATTTATAGCAGTTTATGTCAGTGCGCCCCAGGGCAGCTGTGGCTATATCGTAGCTCATCACCACCAGTGTGTGAATGTGTGTGTGAATGGATGAATGATACACTGTAGTGTAAAGCGCTTTGGAGTCCTTACTCTGAGAAGCGCAATACAAGTGCGGGTCATTTATATTACATTATTCATGTGGACTCTGCTGGGATTATTTAGAGCTGAGAGGCGCAGAGCTCTGATGGTTGACGCGCTCCAGACAGATGCGTCCTGAGAACGGCCACAGTAACATTATCAAAGTGTCGCCACCTGAAAAACAAATTTAACACGCAATCGTTTGTGTCGGCTCACATCCTTTTATATTTTCTGTCTTTTATTTGTGCCCGATGAGTTTTACTGCTGCAGAGCGGATAACCTGTTTCATCTTCTGGTGATTTAACCTCCCCGGGAGCGGCCGGCACGCACGCCGCTGTATTTGCGGTCGGTAGATCTTTTTTAACTGCAGTTCAAAGGTAACTCATAAGGTGAATATATATGAAGGCAGGTAGTACTTTTTCTTTAGGACTGAGAGGAGATGCAGGAAGATAATAAACAGACAGGACAGAAAAATAGTCAAATAAAACAAGTTAGTTTTTGGTGGTTGCAACAAACAGACACCATTGAAGGTCATCAGAGGTGAGGAACAGAAAATTAAATGATTCTTTCAATGTTTAGATCAGCAGGAACTCTGAGAGGCTGCAGGCGCATCAGTGAGTTTGCGGCGGCTGCGCGGGGGGGGTGGGGGTGGGGGGGGGGGCAGTGAAGCAGGAACAGTAAAGATGCAAACACTACAGTTGTTAAAAGAAATGTGTGTTAACTTAGAAAATGTTGGCAAAATTTTAATTACTTGTCAACATTTTTCTCCAACTGCTGCACAAAAAAAAAAGACTGCTGCTTGCTTGGGCCCCCTTGTGGCTGTGGGCCCCTGGGCCTGTGCCCTGTTTGCCCAGATTACAGTTTTTCTCAGTCACTTTGGTGCGTTTCTCAGAACACTATTAACATTTGCACAGCAGTTAGTGCATTTCTCAAAACAATTAGTGCAAACTGCAAAACCTAGTGGATAGCCTGCAAAAGCACGCCACATGCTCAAAATTGATGATCAAAAGCAAGTAGTCATGTCAATGAAACCGTCAGTGCCATCAAAATGAAAAGTCTTGACACCATCTTTATGAACAAGATAGTCAAATGGCTTTGCCATGATTTCACTGTGACAGTTTATAATTTCAGTGTTTTCCATTGCAAGAATATTTGGTGACACCAGAAAATGCTCAAGTAAGCACTATGGCCTACTGGTGTCGCGTGCCCGTCCCATTTACCGGTTCCTTTAAAACCTAGTTCCGTTAGAACTTATGAGACGGTGCATCCATCAGGGTTCGATGGGGATGTCGGTGAGTATTATAGTATTAGATCCTGGTTTGGGCGTCCTAAGTTAGAATCATATCTTTTATTTTAAAGGTGAAATAATATGTAAGACCTTTCCTTCTGTAGTAGCTCACTTCTTTTTAAGCAATCCCGTTATCTTAAGGTTTCTTTATATTAATCTGTCACAAACCGTAAAGTAAGTCCTGATAATTCCAGAACCCATAATTAATGTGCTTACCTCTGTGCAATTAATGATCAGAGCCCCCACTCGTGAAGCTTTAGAGAAAACCTGAAAGAATCAGGATTATGTTTCTTTTTCAAAAAAGGTTTATTACAAAATCAAAATACAAAAATGGGTAGATGAAAAAACAACTGCTATCCCCCACGGAGGAATTAGTTCAAAATGATTAAATAAGAGTTAGTTTACACCAGCTCTTGTCTTCTCAGAATCTCCCCAAAACTCTCCCTCTCTCTCTTTCTCTCCTAAGAGTCTCTTCTGTCATCCCCCATCCAGGCTTGGACGGGGGATGACCCCTCCAAATCTGCTCTGTCTCTTCTTGTCCTCTGCCCCAGCTGCTGTCCGCTCTCCCAATCTCTCTCTGCTGTTCAGAGCTGTTCATATATACCCTTCCTGGACCAGCTTAAGGTCATGGGGTCATTTACCAGATACACACTTTGTAGCTCAACACAAAACATTTGGTGTCATTTTCACTACATGCAGCATTCTTCTTAACACAGGTCATTACATCATCTTTTGCAGCATTCTTCAGTTTCTCTCCAATGTTCCCGAGAGGGCTTCTGGATCTGATGGGCTTGTCTTCACTCTGTTCTCCTCCAATCCCATCTTTCCAAGCCAGGGGTGGGGCAAAGAGGTGGGGTCAGTCTCCTGACCCTTCGCCCAGTTCTGTCCTCTTGTCCCTGTGACCCTTGTGTGACCCTTGTTTCTGACCACAGTTTTTTGACCTGCAGCCTAGCTCCTGTCGGCTGGCTGATTTTGCTCGCACAAGCCAGTCCAGTATGGCTCACCTTTTGACCCCGTACTTGCCACTGTCTTTGGCATGTGGGACTCGCAACATCCCCCATGCGAGAAAAATCTAGCCAGGGGACTGCAGCAGCCTTCTTTGGGGTGGGGCTGCCTCCTCCTCTGGATCATCTTCATCTCCAGTCTCAGACCCAGAGTCTGACAGCTCAGAGTCCAGATACACACCATCATCATCATCATCATCATCACTCACTTCAGTCTCTGAAGAACCAGATGTTTGTTCATGAGGGTTCAGAACTGGGTTCCTGCTTCTCCACCAGTTTCTGCTGCCATCTGGTCAGCTGAGCTGCTGGTTGGAACATCTCAGTCTCCTCCTTCAAGCAGACTCTCTCCCTCCAGACTGAAGACATTTTTTACTGCAGAGCTTCAAATATTCTCCTCACACACCTGAACAGCAACAAGCTAACTCTGCTAGCAGCTGCTGGTGGGAAGCTTACGCTAAAAACTATAAACTGTGGCAAGGTGGATAAATGAGGAGCAGGCGGGATTCGATCCCGAGACCTTCGGGGTGGGAGTCATACACTCTAACCACTCAGACAAAGAGATATCCCCTTGGCCAACTGGCCAGGACGCATTATCAATCGGGACATTGTGACAGAACGCTCACACTGTCACACCTTCCCCCCTCTTTCCACAAGCGCGTCCTCGTACTTCCGCGCAGGGTGCCACAAACTTCACATCCACGGACCTACTTGACAGTACTACATGGATCCTGCCAACAACACCATATGTGGCAAGGTTAAAAATGCTTACTCATTATTAGTGTAGCTGTCTGTCAGGTCAGAATCATACGGAGCTGTTAGTTCAGGACTCTCCCTTCTCAACAGAACTAGTAGGGGGAGGGGTGATGTCACCACATCCTGCTTGTCTGTTGTTGCTCAGCTGACTGAGTGCTTTTTCTCTGTTCAGCTGTGGCTTCTCATATCTGCAGGCTGCCGAGAGCGGAAGCTAGGTGCTTGTTTCAAGCAGATCCTCTAAAAACAAAGTTTAATTGGAGCAGAGTTCCAATGCTCCCAGTTATAAGTCCGTCCTTTACAGGCGGCACGGTTTCTCCCCTCACGGAGCCCTTAAGCACAGAGGTTCACACATTATACATGTTCCCGGCTTCTAGCCTCCCCATTGCGCGTGACGATGCCCGACATGAGATTCTATGAAGCTAGGAAACATGATTACTTTACAGTTCGTGACAAATACCTCCCCGTGTTACCAGAAACGAGGCCCAAGTCACACAGATTCTTACATATCAGTCCTTCACTAGATTTTGATCCAGCCATGACGTTTAATCGCATCTCACTTGTGCCTCAGCACCCGGACAGCGCCCCGCCGCAGCTCCATACTAGCTTTTCCAGCCTCATTCTGAAAGCTCCGGTTACAGGATATTGAAAGATCTATCTGCCATGGCTGGTTAAAAGTTTTTCTTATTTTTATTTATTTTATTTTTATTCGTTTTCACGTTTTATTTTTTATTCTTATTCTTTATTTATTTTTATTTTTTGCCTAGCTTTTATCCTTGGCTTTTCTTGCGTCGGAATGCCGTATTTTCTTTATACCTTTTTAAGTTGATCGTCCGTTCTCCCAGATTTCTTTCCTTTTCGAGAAACTGGTGCGGTTTTCACTCCAAGGTTATAAGCTTAATAGGTCCTTAGCGCGCAAGCTTTTATCAGCCTAAAAGACAGTTCTACATCGGATAGCCCGGTATCTAATATTTAGACCTTCACTCCGTAGCCCCACGTTTGGCGCGCCATGTCGCGTGCCCGTCCCATTTACCGGTTCCTTTAAAACCTAGTTCCGTTAGAACTTATGAGACGGTGCATCCATCAGGGTTCGATGGGGATGTCGGTGAGTATTATAGTATTAGATCCTGGTTTGGGCGTCCTAAGTTAGAATCATATCTTTTATTTTAAAGGTGAAATAATATGTAAGACCTTTCCTTCTGTAGTAGCTCACTTCTTTTTAAGCAATCCCGTTATCTTAAGGTTTCTTTTTATTAATCTGTCACAAACCGTAAAGTAAGTCCTGATAATTCCAGAACCCATAATTAATGTGCTTACCTCTGTGCAATTAATGATCAGAGCCCCCACTCGTGAAGCTTTAGAGAAAACCTGAAAGAATCAGGATTATGTTTCTTTTTCAAAAAAGGTTTATTACAAAATCAAAATACAAAAATGGGTAGATGAAAAAACAACTGCTATCCCCCACGGAGGAATTAGTTCAAAATGATTAAATAAGAGTTAGTTTACACCAGCTCTTGTCTTCTCAGAATCTCCCCAAAACTCTCCCTCTCTCTCTTTCTCTCCTAAGAGTCTCTTCTGTCATCCCCCATCCAGGCTTGGACGGGGGATGACCCCTCCAAATCTGCTCTGTCTCTTCTTGTCCTCTGCCCCAGCTGCTGTCCGCTCTCCCAATCTCTCTCTGCTGTTCAGAGCTGTTCTTATATACCCTTCCTGGACCAGCTTAAGGTCAAGGGGTCATTTACCAGATACACACTTTGTAGCTCAACACAAAACATTTGGTGTCATTTTCACTACATGCAGCATTCTTCTTAACACAGGTCATTACATCATCTTTTGCAGCATTCTTCAGTTTCTCTCCAATGTTCCCGAGAAGGCTTCTGGATCTGACGGGCTTGTCTTCACTCTGTTCTCCTCCAATCCCATCTTTCCAAGCCAGGGGTGGGGCAAAGAGGTGGGGTCAGTCTCCTGACCCTTCGCCCAGTTCTGTCCTCTTGTCCCTGTGACCCTTGTGTGACCCTTGTTTCTGACCACAGTTTTTTGACCTGCAGCCCAGCTCCTGTTGACTGGCTGATTTTGCTCGCACAAGCCAGTCCAGTGTGTTTCAGCTTGCCACTGTCTTTGGCATGTGGGGACTCGCAACACTGGTACAGCCATTTGAAATGTGCAGTAAAGTTACTGTAGATGTTGTGGGAGTTTGGGGAGTAACTGAGATACTGAATACGTACGTTTTACATTTTTACTGTATAGAAGTGTTTGTAATTCTACAGCATTGTGCAAAAGAAAAATATGCTACAGTCACTTGTTTACTGCAGAATACATGTAAACAGAAAATCACCCGCTTGGTAGAGCTGTGCACAAATTTGAACAATATACAGTACATGTAACAGTACATACAGTATTGAACAGTACTGTAACGTACAGGTACAGTAAATCATTCTGGCACATCCAGACGTTCCTGTCTGTCTGGCCACATATTTTCATCTACATCACAGCGGATGTCGTCCCTCGCAATGCAGCGAGGAAAGTATCTCCTGGAGTGGCGAATCCATCCTCTGTAGGACTCTGCTGTGATGTTGCCACTTGCTACATCCATGGCTGCTAGCAGGGCCATTTGCTCATGTGGATGCCGGTCGTAAACTTTCCACCTCCAGGCAGAGAAAAACTCCTCTATCGGATTAAGGAATGGAGAATGTGGAGGGAGATATCCAACCAGCATTCTTTCATGTGCTGCAAGCCACTCTCTGACCAGATGGGAGTGGTGAAAACGGACATTATCCCAGATAACAACGTACTTGCTGAGTTGGCCTCCACCCCTCTCATTCTCAGGGACTAGGTCCCTGTAAAGAGTGTCTAAAACTGTCAGGAGATGTTGGGTATTGTATGGACCAAGAAGGGGGATATGGGTGAGGGCGCCGTTGTCTGAGATGGCTGCACACATGGCAATATTCCCTCCGCGCTGACCAGGGACTTCAGTGGTTGCTCTCTGTCCAATGTGATTTCTTCCACGCCTTCTGCCTTTGGCCAGATTGAAACCTGCCTCATCAACATGTATGAATGTGTGCAGTGGTTCCCTGGCTTCCAGCTCCAGTACACGCTTGAGAGAGAGACAGAAATGCAATTTCACAATCGTTCTGTGTGCAGTAACAAACAGTAATGCATGCATTTGGTAAAACACATTGTAGAGTATGTTTTGTAGAATTGCTAGTGTACTGCACGAAACTACAAAGTACTGTAAGGCAGTTTACAGTGCTGAACATAGAAGACCTGCTTTACCTGCACATACTGGTGACGGATCTCCTTCACCCTTTCACAGTTTCGTTCGAATGGCACTTTATACAATTGCTTCATGCAGATTTCTTTTTTTTGAGAACTCTGTCGATTGTTGAAATTGAAACAGATTCAATATTGCCAAATACCATCTTATTCTCTATGACAGCGCTTTGTATTTCTCTCAGCTTTATTGCATTGTTTGCAATGACCATTGCACAAATGGCTTCCTCTTGCTGTGGGGTGAAAAGGGGCCCTCTTCCACCTCCGCGAGGTTTTCTTTCAATCCTATGTGGTGCAGAGTAAAATTACAGTAAAATTACAAATACAGTACAGTAACATGAGATAAGTATGAGATGGTACAGTACAGTAAATTACTGTATGCATACCTGTTTTCCCTATGGAATGTTTGAATGATTGAACTGACAGTAGTTCTTCGATAGTTGAATCTCAGATAGAGGAGGAGCAATGTGGTTTTCGTCCTGGCCGTGGAACTGTGGACCAGCTCTATACCCTTGCAAGGGTGATGGAGGGGGCATGGGAGTTTGCCCAACCAATCCACATGTGCTTTGTGGATTTGGAGAAGGCTTATGACCGTGTCCCCAGGGGCACCCTGTGGGGGACGCTCCAGGAGTATGGGGTGGGTGGCTTTCTGTTAAGGGCCATTCAGTCCCTTTACCAGAGGAGCGTGAGTTTGGTCCGCATAGCCGGTAGTAAGTCGGACTTGTTCCCAGTGAGGGTTGGACTCCGCCAGGGCTGCCCTTTGTCACCGGTTCTGTTCATCACTTTTATGGACAGAATTTCTAGACGCAGCCGTGGTGTGGAGTGTGTCGAGTTTGGTGGCAGGAGAATCTCGTCTCTGCTTTTTGCGGATGATGTGGTCCTCCTAGCTTCATCCAGCTCTGACCTTCAGCTCTTGCTGGGTAGGTTCGCGGCCGAATGTGAAGCGGCTGGGATGAGGATCAGCACCTCCAAATCTGAGACCATGGTTCTCGACCGGAAAAGGGTGGCTTGCCACCTCCGGGTCGGGGGAGAGGTCCTACCTCAAGTGGAGGAGTTTAAGTATCTCGGGGTCTTGTTCACGAGTGAGGGTAGGAGGGATTGGGAGATCGACAGGCGGATTGGTTCGGCGTCTGCAGTGATGCGGACGCTGAGCCGATCTGTCGTGGGGAAGAGGGAGCTGAGCCAGAAAGCCAGGCTCTCGATTTACCGGTCGATCTACGTCCCAATCCTCACCTATGGTCATGAGCTTTGGGTAATGACCGAAAGAATGAGATCGCGGATACAAGCGGCCGAAATGAGTTTCCTCCGTAGGGTGGCCGGGCTCAGCCTTAGAGATAGGGTGAGGAGCTCGGACATTCGGGAGGGACTCGGAGTAGAACCGCTGCTCCTCCGGATCGAAAGGAGCCAGTTGAGGTGGTTTGGGCATCTGGTCAGGATGCCTCCTGGACGCCTCCCCGGGGAGGTGTTTCGGGCATGTCCTGCCGGCAGAAGGCCCCCGGGTCGACCCAGGACACGTTGGAGAGGTTACATCTCCAATCTGGTCCGGGAACGCCTTGGGGTCCTGCCGGAGGAGCTGGTGGACAAGGCCGGGGAGAGGACGGCCTGGAGCTCCCTAGTTGGGATGCTGCCCCCGCGACCCGGACCCGGATAAGCGGAGGAAGACGAGACGAGACGAGAGTAGTTCTTCCAATATTGGGTTGCGCCCTTCGACCAGCCTCCTCCATGGTGAGGCCATGATTGACAACATGGTCCACAATTGTAGCCCTAATTTCATTAGGAATGTGCCTATAGAGCTCCAGACCCCACGTGACTCTCAGTTAGTGGACGCCATTTTGGCATGCAAAAAAGGTAAACAAACACAGATGTAACCATGAACATGAACGGGATCCGCTTGGATTTTACTTCGTCGGAGTTTACTTCACAATTTAAAACAGAAGAAATCGTTTTATATAGTCAGAAATTAAATAGACTAAACATCTCCGACCCTTTCCGTGCCCCTGGGATACTTTTTAAAAACGGCAGAAGCTGTCGGAGCGGACTTCTTACCGGCACAACACCGGACCTGACCGGGGAACCCCTTGGGATTTACCCAGAGGAGCTGGGGAGAGGTCTGGGACTCTCGACTCTACTGCCCGCTCCGACGCCAGAAGCTGTCGGAGCGGGCTTCTTACCGGCACAACACCGGACCTGACTGGGGAACCCCTTGAGATTTACCCGTAGGAGCTGGCTCCGGCGGCTGGGGAGAGGGAAGTCACGCTACTGCCCCCGCAACCCAACTCCGGATTAGGGCTGTCGCGGTAACCGCAAAAATGAAATATCGCAATATGAAGAAGCCCACCGCGCTGCATCATGGGCCACCACGATTACTGAACTTGATTCAACTCAATGATGCATGTTGAGAAGGATGGCTGCACTGGTATCAAAACGAAACGTTACTTCGCTCCTTTGGGAGCACTTTGGTTTTCAGTACGTCAGCTGCTGCGCAGCCAGAGTCCTTGGCCGAGACGGAGCTGCCACCAGCGGCAAAAAATAAATAAATAATAAACGCTCGGAGACCTCCTGAAGTCCCGGACAAGCACTGCTTCTGCAACCGTCCCGAAGAGAGTTTGAGCCGAGCTGGAGCTCACTCGCTACCTGCAGGAGGAATGCATCCACCCTAAAGAAACCCCCCGACATGGTGGAGCAACAACCGGGAGAGATTCCCTTTGCTCGCCAGAGTCGCACGCAAGTACGTGTGTGTTAGCGCAACGAGCGCACACTCCGAGAGGGTTTTCAGTGTTGCTGGAAATGTTGCCACCCCTCTCAGATCCTCTCTCAAACCGTATATGGTTAACATGCTGGTTTTCCTTGTAGGTAACAAGGACGTGATCGAGCTATAAATCACCGTCATTCGTGTGTGTGAAAGGGAAATGATAGTGCGCCCGCCCCCAGGCGCGCGCGCGCCCGGTACATGCAATTTTTTATGCTTGATTTAAAACAACTAAACAAAATGGTGACTTGTTTATTTGTTAGATGCTGCAGCCAAATTTGCATTTAAAAGTTTAACCTCCTGAATTTTGTTGTTTTTAAGTTCAGTCGGACTCTGACTGTCGGAGAAACAAGCGTTACTGCGATCTGTGTTGTTACTGCCCTTTGATCTGCATTCAGTAAAGCATTATAAAAGAAGACACGGCAATTTTTAACCTTTTTTGAATGTGTAAACATTATGTTTAGATAGTACTGCAGTAAAAAAAAGGGCTGCAATAATATCGCACACCGCAATATTAAGCCACCCTGAATCACCGCAGGGGGAATCCCTCAACCGCGACAGCCCTACTCCGGATACGCGGATGAAAATGGATGGATGGACGGACAAATAACAGATTTACACGTAAGTAGTCTCGGTGAGACAGATAATAGCAATCCAAAGTGCTTTTTATGTGTGAACTGACAAATGATCAACCATTGCTTAAAAATTAAATACAGCTTAGCCGGTTAATTGCTGTGATCATAAAACACGGAAACGGCAGCACGCAGAACTCACGAGGCAACGTTTTACGTGATGTTTACTTGTTGCTATGAGTAATAAGACAGAAAAAGCCACGCCAGAATAAGTTTAAGAAGCCCACTAAGAATCGTAATAAAAGCATTTAAAATAAATACCACACACAGTTGAGGAAACATTGGTTTAAGTACCTGATATGAAGTGGTCGCTGCATAAGCGAAAACCTTTACTCTCGGGATCCCACAGCTTCATTTTAGCCCGGTCACTAGCGCTTTTTATTACACTGATCCAACGTTTGCGGCGCTCCGGATCTTGGGGAATCCTGTAGATGGCTCATTCCTTATGTCGTCTGTGTCTGTTCTGCATCCTGGGGCACAACAGGAGTCTACCATATTTCCCGTTTGATTTAGTTTTCTGACAATAACAAATAGTCCAGCTGCCGGCTTCTGCCTGCCAATATGGCGCCGTTTCGATTTGAACTGTTGCATGCCGGGAGAAGTGACGTCAACTCCCGGAGCTCTATATCTGCCTCTTCTCCCTCTTCCCCTTCCCCTTCCTCCCCGCATCCTCACCCCTCTTCCACGATGCTGACCTTCCATTTTGTGTCACAGAAGTGTAGAAATGGTACACACTAGCTCCTGCTCAGTTCATATATGCTTGCCAATTGAGGATTCACCTCCTCATGAGTGACAGCTGAAATTCACCTGTGATCAATTGTTCAATTTTGGAGACATTTCCAGGAAAAAATGATAAAGAAAGGTATAGCAGTAGCTCAGGTGGTAGAGCGGGTTGCCTCATGATTGGAGGGTCATGGGTTCGATTCCAGCTCCCGCCATGGGTATCCTGTTGTTGCGTCCTTGGGCAAGACACTCCACCCAACTTGCCTGTGTTAGTGGTGGTCAGAGGGGCCGACGGCGCCAAATGGCAGCTTCGCCTCTGTCAGACCTCCCCAGGGCGGCTGTGGCTACAAATTAGCTTACCATCACTAGCAGTGTGTGAATGTGAGAGTGTGTGAAAGCATCTTTGGGTGTCTAGAAAAGCGCTATATAAGTTCAATGCATTATTATTATTATTATTATTATTATTATTATTATAGAATTTGCTTGACAGATGACTAATATTTGACATTTGATAACTAGTTCAACAATTTTGTGTGTAATGACTCAAGTAATGAAAGTAAGACTATTAGTTTTATTGAGAACGACTATTCAGCATCCATAAGTGTAATTAGTTTTGACTGACATGACATAAGCAAATGGAAATGTCAAAAAACAGCAGAGAAGTGTGTGAAAACAACATGTCCAAAATCATTTGCATTTTGTTCAGAGAAAGGAGAAATTGCTACTATGATGTGCGCAAATGACTAAATGTTGTGGAAGTTGAACTAATAGTTATGAGAATTTTTAATTCTGATCTGAGAAACGCACCAAAGCGACTGAGAAAAACTGTATAATCCGGCCTTGAATAAGATGTGCTGATTTGTCCAAATAAACGATAAAACACACAGAAATAATACCGGTTTTATTTTCTAAATTCTGTTTCAACAAATCTGTAATAAAATAAATAAATCTAGACCTTTCCACCGCAGATCCTCCACCAGGGGGCAGTAGACACGTGCAGGACTGGCTGTGGCAGGTTTCTGATGAAGGTGCCAAACCTGATAATCTCATCTCATCTCATCTCATCTCATCTCATCTCATCTCATCTCATCTCATCTGAACAAACCTTCAAGAGGTTGAAGTTTTTTTTTTACTTTAGCTTTTGTTTGTCAGCTGACTAAATTCAGAAGGTGAAGGACATC